TCCGTGCGGTTTAAATGAATACAAATTTCAGCTCGTCCGCGATATTTTCAGTTTACCAAGTAACGCGATTGCTTTTCATCGGTTTTTGCTTCGTGTCTTTCGCTCTGAAACACGGACGATTCTTTGCCTGATCTTCACCCGTTGCCGGGGAAATTATGAAAGTATGAAATTACGTTGGCCGCGTAAATAACAAAAGTTCCAGTGGATGGGGAATCGGAAACTTTATTTGCCAGACTTCGAGTCGCCGGAGTTTTTCCCTTGGCTCGGCTATAAATGGAAGATCGCTTTGACTCGGCGAAAGAATTATACGAGAGACCCGGCTAGAACGGAAATTGTGATTTACTTTTCGCTGCTCGGTTATCGAAAGGTTGTGGAAAACTTCGTAACGAAAATTCTGGCGAACTTCGGAACCCGGTTGCTCTTATTAAAATGAACATTTCAATTCCTGTCCGGAAAATTGTTTTCACGTATACATTATCGAAAATTTTGTTTGGTATGAAATTTACTATTTTAGAATTATTTTGGAACAATTAGAATACTGTTGGGTAACTAAATTGTAGGAACGAGTATTTTTTTAGTATGCACTTTTGGGAGTTTATTATTTACTGTGTTAGTCGTAAACTATATTTTAATAAGGAGGAAGTGCTTTATGGAGAGTAATTTTAACAGTAGCGTGATATTTGCACAGCGATGTGCTTGAAAAGAGGGTGAGCAAAGTGGCGACTCGCAGTCTGCGGGAAACCGATGGATTTCTACAGGGCGTTTCAAAATGTGTGGCATAATTAGACCACAGTGATTTTACCTTGCAAAATGGGTACAAAATAAAAATAAGCAATATTTCGTATTTGTCAAAAAGTTATACTGCTCCTTTCAATAGACTTGACGTAACTTAATTACAGAAGTACTCTTTTTTATCTAACTTTTGAAAGAAACTATAGAAAGTGTATACTTCTAATTAAATTTCATTAATTCAGTCGAGTGATGACAACTGATACTGGACCACCAATTTTGGTGAACTCTATAGTTCTTGGTGTAGTACCGTACTCTCTCACAATGTATGAATGAATGTGCATATTTGCCTGGTGACGGAATAAAACCAGAAATACCACACAAAATCGAGACGTGCTTCAACGTTCAATTGGTTATTGAACGCGACCAAATTAATGTGACCTGGAAATTTTTTCAAACTCTATTAGTGCGTAACAAATTATCGTATCGTACATACACATTTCCTTACTGATATTCACAACAATATCTGTATTAAAAATTCTATCTTATTTTGTTTTTTAAAATTTATTTTACATTTGATTAGTTTTTTATTCGTTTCAATCTTTTCCTACCTGAGTAAATTCTGTAAATCATTTATAATAAGTAAAACACGTAGATCAAGAAACAAAATATGTTCACTTAAATTGTTAAAATATATAACTAATTTTTAAATTTATTTTACACTTGATTAGTGTTTTACTCGTTTCAATCTTTCACTACCTGAGTAAATTTTATAAATCATTTATAACGAATAAAACACGTAGACCAAGAAACAAAACATGATCACTTAAATTGTTAAAATATATAACTAAAATATATAATTTGCATAAATATAGTGAACGAAAAGTTAGAGTTTGGTTTCTTAATTTGTGAGTTGGTAGAGGAAAATGTCTGGAGGTGATATTATCGGGCGCAACAGCGTTATTGAACGAGGGTTTAATAAAGTAGGTTGTATCGAGTTTATCGTTCCTTTTAAAGGGAAAAATATGAGAAAAAGAATCCTCCTTTCAGATTCATCGTTAGTCCCTCAGTTTTATTGAGCAAAATCGTGGTGAAAGGGAGCCATTGAACAAAGCAGGAAAAGATAATAGCGTTGTCGGCCTGCCAAAAACTGCTGTTCCAGCTTTCAAAGAGGCTCTTGCTTAAGGGGGTCTCACAGTTAAATGACTTGTCGTGCAAACAGTGTGAATAATACAACTCAGATCCTTTACTATTTCTACATATTTCAACAACTGCTCTTACTTCCACCATGTTTAACGAACTCAGAATTAAACTGATTCTTATTGTAACCAAAAATTATCTCAAACTTCAAATTCAGAATTGCCACATTAAAACTTTTATTTCGTGTTTAAATTAAGAATAAAATCGCAGCGGGACTTTAATGAACGTCGCTTGAATTTTCTTGAATGAACCATGTAATGGGGTCAATCGACAACGCCCAACTACATTTGCCCTCCAAAGATTCGAGTTGCTGTGATAGGAAATTCCCATCGGCTTTACGGTGTCCCACGGGGATCAATTTAGTTACCACAGTGTAATCAATTTCTCCTCGAATCAGAACTCGAATCGTGGCTTCTAATTGTGACGGCACGCGAATTAATCCGAAACACTTCTTATCCTTAATACCCTTCTAACGTTACTTCTACTTTAACCGTGTTCTAAATATAGAATGCTGGAAATAGAAAACCTTAAAGCATCCAAGAAACGAGGAGCAAATAAGACGAATGCAGGAATTATTGCCTCGTACTTTTTTCGCAGGTCCAAAACCATTACGTAACTTGAAGTCGTAAATTTTTCTTGATGATACAATTCGTTTATTATTTCAAAGTATTAGTCAGTGTACATTGTCAAATTTTTGTCATATTTTTGTATCGGAGATTGAAAAGATTGTAGGCTCTAAATTGATTTGAACAAGACAGTATTGTCGTACATAATACAGTTATTAAATAACATATGTAGATACATATGTTATTTACTTACTTTTTGAAAATATTTTGTTTACACACTTATGAAAATATCAGGGTTAAAACTCCTTTTACAGTATATAATAGTGTCAGTAGGTTCATTTAATTTTTAGGAAGATTATGAGGGTGAAAATACCGATAAGGTTGTTTCGTTAGATGTAAATCGACTTTTGTATGGGATGCGTGAGGGAGGCTACTTGTGAGGCCAAGCAAGGACGCAAGCATCGATTCTGACCTAACCACCTCCACCCTAGTTTCAAGCCTAACTCCAACAACTCACCCCGTTTCCACTTTCAACCTGCTCTTATCCCTCCCCTCCTTAGACCGACTATGAACCCTCCAGCTTTCTTTCTTGGTACACTAGATATTCGGGGTCATCTACTCTTAAATCGAACGCAATGATGTTTCCATGTCCTCGACTCCTTCCTGTTCACAATTTCGAAACGAATTTACTGCGATTTCAATTGCCATGCTTACCAATTATGGAGACCTACATAATGTGATAATTTTGTATCGTAGGTTTGAATCTGATTTGAAATATTGGATTAGAACTGTAAATGTTAGATTATTGGATTAACTGTTTAAATATTAGATTAAATACTGGGTTATTAAACTGATCAAATATTAAACTAAATAGTGTATACTGGTTAAATATTGTGATGTTTAAATATTAGATTAAGTGCGAGATTAATAACTTCTATAAATTCAACAATTGACAAATGGTCCTACGTTAAATTTTAATTAATATTCGATTGTTTGTAACATTGTTTTTAAGTGATGAGAAAATTTCATCACCTCAAATCTAAGCGCAGTTTATTAGCACCTTAACACGTTATGTGTTTCCACAGTGGAAATGCATGTGTATAGTCAGACACTTTATAATAGCATTAGACGCTGCAGTAAAAACGATTGTGTGTAATACGACACGCTATAATTGTATTTATTCAGAATACGAGCATTTTATCCTCTGGATTAAGCGTTCTATTTGCCTTATGAAATTAATTTACTGATGGTGCTTAGAATTTTCTTCAATTTCCTTCCTTCCAATTACTGTAATGGATTGCATTAAACTTCTTTTAGTATTTGTCCGTGCTAATTGCTGATACTTTAATAGACGTTTATGAACATTAATTAATAGTTTATTAATATATTGTAGACATTTATTACTGATATATTAGTAGATAATTATGGACACTAATTACTGGTACAGAGATGCTAGTTATTGGTGATTTTCATTGAATTCAATGTATTAAACTGTAATTTAATTTTTTATATATTCATCTATTTAGTTTCCAATTAATCTCAGTGCCAATTTCAATTAATTACCCCCATTTAGTTCATTAATACCAAAATATATTTCTACTCTTCTTTTTCTCGTTATGATATTAAACTTAATTTATAATTCTGATAATCAATATGTTAACAGTCTCAATTATGAAGCTGATAGTTCAAAGTGAATTTATTTTAACAAGATTTATATTATAAAAGTTGTAAAGAGAAAATCTTCGAATTAAATTTAGTAAATTTACAATTTTATTCAAAAAAAATATTCGTGAAAAATAAATTTCATCAGCTTCGTTATTCAAGAAAATTTTAATGATTCCCGAGTAAGCTCACTCGAGTATAGCTCTCTTGCAGTTGTAAAGATACCCATACATGTTCCCAATATCATAATCGATAAAATACGGATTTTAATACGCGAAATTGCTCGTTAGCGTTATGCGATCGATAATGCTGTCCCCGTTGGGTGTTAGAGCGGCCTCGGTTCTGGCAACCTGCTTATACCATCTTACATCGACAGACTCTTATAAAGTTTTCTTCGTGTATAACCCCCTGGAAATATTACAGAAATTAGTGTAACGACATCAGAAAATATTTTGCTCAAAATTTGCTTCTTACGAAGGTAATAAACTCCTCGTAAAATCTTTAACTGAGCCACAGACTGCCTTACCATAAAATTGTAAATAAAGTAAAAAAGGGAGCAAAGGATAAAATATAAGAGAGTATACTTATAGATTTTTTATTTCAATTCAATAGTTTAATCTTAACAAGCTATGTAATTAGAAAGAGTTAAGAGTTAAGTCAAGTATTGTGAAGAGTTAAGAGTGGTTTATCCATTTTGCTGTTATTGCAGTCATCATTATATCAGTTTTGTAGTTATTTCAATTAAAGCGTTGAAAATGTGTAGAAGTTAGCATCATATCGATAAAGCAATAAAGATCGAAAATTTCCTGAGCTCACTAATTAACGTCGATGCTGGTGTTTCAGAAACTTGAGCAAGATGATGACGACGAGTATCTCGACTCCCCCTGGGCCGACGGCAGCAGTCTGAAGCGGCACTTTCAAGGTCTGAACAACATCTCATGGAAACCGCACTAAGCGGCCCGACAACGGGAACGAAGAGAAGAAAGAGAGAACTCGATCCACGTAGCTGATTAAAATTACCGACCGAACAGCCGATATTCTCTCACCCGACTACCAAACATGGCTACCAGAGAACGTCTGATTAGCGCAAAACGTCAAAAGATGATTCCACGAAGTGAACCAGAGATGCACGATGCTCAACTTCTCTCGAAGCGATCGCCCACGAAATTTGTCTCGAAAGAGAAAACGCTAGGGAAGAAAGATCGGTCACGCGTTCTACCACCGACACCCGTAATTCGACCCTTGGTAACAGTATACGATCCCGAGCATGCGAAACGTTATCTCTGCAAGCGTGTATATTGACAGAGAGATATTATGGTAACGAGATTGGTGCTTAACCAGCCAGTCCATGTTTTTGTTTCGATACTGGACCAATTTAGCGTAGTTGGTTTTGCACAGAATGCAGGGAGAAATGTTGCCTCGAGGATTCCTCCATCGCCATACTTAAACGAATTCGGTGTACATTTTCTACTTGTCATTCGTAACGAGCTCAGAGCCGGGTAGAGCGCAGTGGTAGAACGTTTGCCAGGGAAATATCGAACGGACGGCCATTTGCGTCCATGATTTCGAAGGAACAAAAAAGAGTGATCCAGAGTGCCGGTTCACGCGACGAACAACGCTTGAACACGCAATCACGCTGTCGCATAACTGTCCCCAACACTGTGTACGCGATAATTATTATCCGATAGAGTATATAACGATATTTTGTGACGGACTTTTTTCTACTCGATAACCGCCCGAGCGCGCGAGCGCCACCTCTCAACTTCTCCGTCGATCGATTAATCCTTTGGCGACCTTTTCCTGATCGATCCTGCCGATTAGAACGGATATCATTGGCGAGGATCCAGCGAGGAAATATTGTATTTGGCCGATATTCCGCCACCTTTGGAGGCTCGTCAAAAAAGAAGAGTGCTTCCGAAACATCGCGAACGAATTTCCAACTCGATGCAAACGAGACTTGGATCCTTCTCGGAATTATTCAACCCCTTCTCGAGGGGTTTAAACTCTTCCTCCATTCGTGGAGAACTCTTGTATCGTGATTATTGACATCCTTGATATTCTTGTGAGTTTTCTTCCTCTGTTTCGTTGAATGTTTAACTTTTCCAAAAAGAGATCTGTTCGATTTTGGTTTGTAATTCGAATTGTAAACTTCATTTGATTAATTAGAAAATGAGAGGTGAATTGGGTAAAATCTGTAGCGAAAAATAACAAACTGTACCCATAACACGTTAATTATCATACTGAAAATTGTAGAGTAGCCTTATCACATATGGCCACTTTCATTATGATAGTCAACTTGTTAATGCAAAATTAGTGCTAACATCATGAAAAAGAAAATTTCCTCGTTTGCTCAAGATCATTTGAGAAACCTTGCGAACATTTCTAATTTCTTCATTTCACTACCTTGTGGTCCACAAATGTGTCCACATCTAAGCTTCTCTCAGTTACAAATTATCCAAATAAAATTTATTATACGAATTATCCAATTTAAACTGAGAGTCTAGTTTTCCTGAACTCTCTCAAGATAGTCTAAAATTCCAGGTTGCTAGGTTTACAATCAGGTGTCCTTTAGATTATAAAATAAATATCCCTGCAATTGTATCGTTAAAAGAGCTAACCAAGTCGAAAAGTATCTCGAAGTCAAGATCGTAAAGAATTGTCCCGCAATTTGTTCTCGGACGTTTCGAAAGCACCCAGTAAAGATCGATTTTCGATTACAACGAGGCACACCGTTTTCTCCGTGCAATTTGTGTAACCATGCTGAGAAAAGTGTCCTCCTGAATACAAAGTAGAAGAGAACGAGCTATTTCACGCCTGCACGACGAACGTCAATGTCGATCGCTGAGAAACAGTACATAGAAACTCACCTCCTTGCTCGGTTTCGAGCAAAAAAGCATTCCTGCCGTAAGCACACGCGCTCGCATAATTTACTCACTCGCGTACGCGAAAAGACTATTACATGCACAATAAGTTCACTCTGGTTCACTCGTCGAAACGGATGAAATGAAGGAACTGGAACGACGAACAACGGAGGCTGAACGGCGAAATATCGCGAGAGATATGGTCGCGTTACTCAAGTGGACTAAAGCTTAAAACGAGTAAATTAATGAATTAAGAGTACCGTTACCAGTTAACAAGTATTAATAAGTTAATCTGCTTGCTGTGTGATCATGACGCATCCGAGAAACGCCACTCCACGTGCATCGTAGAGTACACACTGTATCAAACACTGACACACACATACACACACACACGTCCGTTTCATCGTGTCTGGGACACACGCTTCCGGTCAGGTATATTCGATACGATTGACGGGTATTCGGGTTATTAGTGAATTTATAATTGCGCTTCGAGTAACACCCCCATCACAGATACATTTGTAAAACATCGAGCAATGTAATTTTTAGGGGGTTGTTTGGTGTTGGAATTTTTACGAGGATTGATTTGTACTGCGCATACAATTGTTATGGGGACAAATTTTTTGGGGGATGAAATATAATTACGGAAGAAAATTTAATTTGGTGAATCGCATAATCATATTTTAATTATACTACACCTTTCGACAAATATCTGATTCAAATTCCATAATAATGGAGTGTTAAATGTGATGTGGTACTGTGAATATAATTTTGAACAAAAATTTTACAATTTCAATTTATGTACTGCAGCAAAGTTCAGAGTTTATCAGTAAATTTCTATATTTACACATATGTTGTCAGCAGTTAAAATAAATAATAATTGAATCAGAAATAATATTCCATTAAAATAACAAGTTGATAAAAATATTCGACTAAAATGATGCAGAATTTTAACTGAAAAAATACAAAGTATCAAAGGCAATACAAAACTGATGAAAATCCCTATACCAAAAATGAGTCAACTATTACAAATAATCGCTCAAGTTGGAAAAGTAACATGCAACTAAAATAACAAAAAAAGATTGTACGAAAATTATGCAGCAATTTGATGAATACTATAAATCAGTCCTCGCTCAAAAACACATTGTGACACAACGATACATCGTTTCGGAAGAGTAGAATTTTTCAAAGTCTAGCCGGGTCAAGTTTGTCAATAAGAATAAATAAAAAAGCGATCATTTCCGCTTCGAATCTATTGAATAATGGAGAACACTGTCAGACGCCGCACGCAACATTTTGAAATATAGAATTCGAGGCGATTGTGAGCTCAAGGAAAACTCACCCCTGCGATTACGTGGGGCAGAACAGGGTGCCAGTTGCGCAGAGGGTGAAACAAGTAACAGTGGTTTTTTCGCGGCCACGTTGCTGCGCTTGAATCGATACGAGTGGCGCAGGACGGGCAAACCTTCACCCCTGAGATCGATGGCAAAAACTGATGCCAAAAGAAATTGGTTTTATCAGAAGATTCTCTTGAATGTAAATTAACTCATTTTATATTCCTTCTTTTTCGTTCCTTCGCGCCTGCAACTTCCTCTTCACAACTAAAGAGATAAGGAAGTTCAATTTTTATTTACAGTACTGCAAAGTTTATAAACTGTACTAACTGAAAAAAAGTTGTTAATATAGAAGATATAAAGGATATTAATACTTTATAAAAATAATTAAGGTTGATACGCTTTGTGAATCAAAATCTTAAATTGGTAAAAACTGTTGCTGAAAGAAATTCATTAGAAAATTCTTTAGAAAATTTTGCAAAATATTTGAAATTCCAGAAATTCAGATTTTTTGCACCCTCATCTTTCCTTCAAAGAGTAAAAAACAAGTTCTTGCTGTAATTTTTTGATTAAAAAATTATACATGCAAATATTGTGAAAAAGTAAAAGAAATATGTGATATGAAACGATTAAGTAAATTGTGAAATAGTTTGATGCACTTGGTTGATTAAAATCATTTATCGTTGAATGGCAAGAACTTTCTGGGTTACTTGTATATTGAACTTCAAGTTTATGTTGAATGGTGGAATATCGATCAAACAAGCAGTCCATTGCTCGAAATTCGATACATTTCGTAGAGTTTGCGATCGATCTCCGAAAGAAGGTAAAGGTAATTGTAAGTCGTGTAAGAATTTGCACGAGAAGCAATTACTTTGGTGCTTGACCCGAAAACCAATTATAGGGAATATTGCATCGAAAATTCGAAGGGATTCTCATTCGATTCGAACTCCCGTCATTTTGCAATTTGCGATCCGTTTCACGTACAAAAACAACACACACGTACACGTACACACATTTGTGACACCGATCCACGTGTGCACACTCGCACGGATACACGAAAAACACGTACACTATGGAAAGAAATAATAATTGAATTGTTTTTATGAATTAAGAACAAGTTGTCTGTGATCTACAATAATTAAAAGAATATTTAATAAGTATTAACGTAATAAATGCATAATTGACATGTCGAGAATGTCGAACGAATCGGTTTAGGGAATAATACTAAATAATTAATAACGATAATTAAAATTTGAAGGGAAAGGAAACGGGAAGAGAAACGATCAAATATACGTTGGAAGTCGCGATAAGGATAGAGCAATACCGTAAAAATATAAAAGAAATGAAATGGAAAATGATAGATAAAACGATTATCGCATTAACGACGTTGTCGCAAAGGAATTCTAGAGAAGAGGTATATTATTATAAAATACATATATAAACATTAAATAATAAAGAATAGAGATTTGAAATGGAGCACGCCACGTCTAAATATGTAATCGCTGTTGTTAATCAGTAATTCGCGATGTAAACGGAGAAAAAAAACCAAATGTGCGTGCTGCGTTCGAAGTACCGATTAAAATACCAAAAAAAAATTATATGAATAAAAATAAATATATAAATAAATAAATATATATATGGCACTTGACCGTCGCGGCTAAAAAGTACATAGGATAGATAGATTTATAGAAGCGCAAAAAGATAAAAAAAAAAACACCAAAAATCGTTCCTTCCACCCGCTCCGGCCGTGTATTTGATTATCGATTTTAAAAATATATCGCATCTCATGTGAAGTCGAAGAAAAGCTCCGCGAACTTGTAAACGCACCTCAGAATGCAATTTAGTATGAAATTTTACCGATGCAAGATAGAGAAGCGAGAGAGAGAGGGTGAGAAAGAAATAAAAAGACGAAACAGATACGAGAGAATCGAGCAGGATAAAAGAACGAAGAAAGAAAAAAAAAATGAATAAAAAATGGATATAAAAAATGCCACAATCACCGAGTAATAAGTTGTTCAACGAGCGTTGCGAAAGATGTTCGAGATAATTTTTGTACAGTTTTGGCACACACGAGAACGTGCAACATCGTCGTCTTTATATTTATGTACAACATTTAATTATTATAAATTTTCGATATTATTACAAACTATGATCGATTTCGTGTGAAAGTGTATATGGCTTTTTCTGCGGTTAACAATAAAATGTTGTCAAAGCTTTTTCACGAGATATATATACATACATAATTTCACTGAAACAATCGAATTATCTTTGATTGTCTTTCCTTTTCTCCTTTATTTAGAATCAATTATGCGATTTTCCTCGATGCATGAAACTTTTAAGTTTTAAGTATTTTGGAAATTTTTCTGAGCATTACAAAATGTATCTGGATATTTTATAAATTTCTAAATTGCCACATTTATTAATTTTAATGTTTGAAGCTCGTATGTTTCTGAATTCCTGAATTTTGTATCTTGAAGATCATAAATTTGCATTCCTACATTTTTAAATTAAAAATTCAAATTTCCAAACTATTAATAGCCTTAAACTTCTAAATTTATTCTCTCACAAATTACCAGATTTCCAAATTATTAAGAAACCATATTACCAGATTCCAACATTTGCAAACACTCTAATTCTAAAACTGCTAAATTTCTACATTCACAAATTAGTTCCTCAAATAATAAAATTATCAAATTTATAAATTCCTGAATTTTCAATTCCTCAACTCCTTAGATTTTCAAGTTTTCTAATTCCCTACTCTACAAATTCAAAAATTTCTTATAATTTGTAGATGAAGTAAATCAGAAGGTACTAACTAGAAATTAATAGAGTAAAATCTTCCAGCTTACAATTACAAAAACATCTATCAAAGACAATACAATCTTTCAATAAAATCCCTTTCATAATATACTATTTCCTGAAAAAAAACTTCACGAATATATATCGAATATAAAAAAAAAATTTTGTTACCAATGAATAATAATGTAGAAAACTGCAGGAAAAAATATTAATGATACCTACTTTAACTACAAAGGATAACAGAGTATGTACCACACACTATCTGACATACCGATGTTATTGGAACCTCCTTTTTATCATGCAGCCATTTTGTTACTATTACTTTAAAAATTACATATTACATCACAGAAAATAGCATAGAGCTTCTCACATTAGAAAATAAATAAAATATAATAGTAAACGCAGATCATAGGTTTTAGTTTGATATCTTTTCCTAAAGTTCATCTTCCGAAAAATCTTTAGAGAACAATATCGATTACCAGGTCACACCACGTGGCTGCGATAGTGACCCACCCTATCCCAGCCACCCCCCATTTACAACTCCCTCAATTATCGGAGGGATAAATGAGTTCTGACTCTACTTAGCCTGTTAGCTCGCGAAAATATATAAGTTCCTTATAACATAGCAAAGAGCTTGTAACATACTTACAAGTTTCTTAAAACCAACTTATAGCACGTAAGCACACCAGACAACTTAAAACTAGCTTATTCTAAGCGCCGTGTACCTCTCATTCTAAGATTGCTCTCGTATAATCTATAACAATGTGAAAAAGCAAGGGGTAGAAGAAAGTTAGAGCAACTTTCTACTAGAAGACAAGAAAGTTAAGAGAACTTTCTACTGAGGTGTGGATCAGTATTTTTCGTCTAGTGAACCTCGCCCTCCAGGGTCAAAGGGTAGTCGCATGACTTACGTGAACCACGAGACCCAATTGAACCAAATATACTGGCAAGAACTAGTGGCAACACTTACTTGCGAAACACTCGATAAATAGGTCGAATGTTTAACATTTGCGTGCACACACTGTGCTTGTAAACAATAAAATTACAACCAGTTCGGACCATTCGTCCTACGACATGGTGGGAACCGGAGGAACCGTAAACCATGCGACTCACTAACTGCTTACATTGCCGCACGCGGAAGCGCATTTCAGTGATTGATCCATGATCGATAGGTTGTCCAGTCAGGATTACCGCTCGAAACGCATCTCAGAGATTGCATAATCGATTGATTGCACTCGTACAGTGAGGATTAGGCTTTTTATCCCTCGGTCGGCAAAAAGTGGCCTTCTATAAGCAGTTGCAGCAGATAATAAACATCTTTCGACGTTTCACATTTTGATACATGTATATACTTCTTGATATATTCAGATTGAGTTTTGTATTATATTGAGAATGATTTTAAGTTGTACACTTTTCAAAATTTTCCGATAATTATTAATTAAGTTATCGCATCGGTGTTTATGTTTTTACTGACTGTGTTGACACGTTATAAATTTTGGTTAATTATTATTTTTCGTTATAAGTACTATAAATATTCTTTAATGTCTTAATGACTATTAATTTTCTCCATTGTGTCATAATTGATTTATCATTATGATACACATTATACAATGGTTAAAATAAATTTTGAAATACAAGTCTGCCCTGACAAGTTGCATAATCTATATGCGTACAGGTCTGAAATTGTGTCTCCTTTCAACTTGAAAATGTCTTTATTAAGATTCAGAGAATCTTGTATATAGTGTGTCAAGGAGCACATGTGCGGTTCATGAAAATTGCAAACGCTACGGCGCAAACGTGAGTTGCCACATCTCTGTTATATCTCGGTTATTCAACTTACACTCAGGTGCAACGTGGGTTTTTATGGAATCACATGAGTATAGTTAGCAACTTTCGCGTGATCAAATTTTCTAATCTTAAATTTCCAAATTCTCGAGGTTTCAAATACTCCAATTCTCAAGTTTCCATTTTTCAATTTCCAATTTTCCAAACACCCAATGTTACAAATACTATAATTTTTTAAATGATTCAAATTTACAAATTTTTGTATTCCCAAATTTTCTGATTTCTACGTTCCAAAACTCCTATATTCTCAAATTCCCATGATATCCAATTTCCACATTCTCAAATTTTTTACACCCAAAATTTCATATCTTAAATTCCCACATTTCAAGTTTACTAGAAATATCTTTACACCCTTGAATACCTGCATTCTCAAATTTCCACATTGTCAAATTCTCACACTCTCAAACTTCCACATTCTCAAATTTCCACATCTTCAATACCCTACTCTCCCAAACTCCTCCCTTCTCGATCTCCCACTTTTCTAAATCTCTAAACCCCCTCTCCTCAGTCCCAAATTTCTACGTTCTCGAATTCCCAAACTCTCCAGCTATCTAAATTTCAAGCTTAAAACACAAATCTAACTATTCCGTAATGAAGTACAAATTAAATATCTCCACATCCACATTTTCCCTAGAGAAGTGTATAATAGCCGTAGGTGTACTTGCAGTAATGCTAGGCATAAGGCAACGGCTGCTGACCCGCCATATTGATCGACGACCCAAATTATCACTCCGACATATGTGATGTACCATATGATACACAATATGTGATATATACGATGTACCATATATGATCTGTCATGTATGTGTGATAAATGATAAACAGTACATGCCATACGTTATATGATAGACATGTTATGATGAGACACATGTTATGTGATATACGTGTGATATGTATGATGTATGTATGATATGTATTACATGATGTACTACATACGATGATATATGTCGTATATAATATGTGGTATACGATAATGAGGTACCATATGAGTTTCAAGCGTAAAAGTTAATGGATCTAAAAATGGTTTAATACGAAATGAAGAAATTATCCCTATGCCGCCATTTTCCCTAGACAAGTGTGCGATGGCCGCGGGTGTACATGCCGCAAGACGAGGCACGAGGCAACGACTGCTGACCCGTCATATTGATCGACCTGGATCCGCAGTTCTCCTCTATCCGATTGCGCGACACGGGGTGGCGCTCCTCGTAGACCGCGCCGCGCCACGACGCGTCGCGACGCTTTTCGACGCTTAAACGCGCTAGCGTAGTCGCAACAACCACTGCACCCTCTGAAAACCGCATCGTCCTGCCATACGTGGAATCGTCCAGCGCCATGCTGCTGGTTCGCAAGTCGGATAAAAACGTTGCTTAATCGACTACAATTTACGTGATCCACCAAAAAACATTCGAGTGCTCGAAGATCGAATTGTGCCCACTTTCCTCCACTTCCAATTTCGTACGGTTGAGTATTCCGGATCGTCCTATTACTTGTGTACGTATGGACGAGGATTTTAGAGAAGACATTCTCGTTTACGTACGATTAATTATTTTTGTGATCGTGTGGGGTTGATTTTCATGACAGTGAAATGCATGATAACCAAGATGATCGTGGGGTCACTCGAAACGTAAAAGAACGTCGAGGTATTCTTTGTGGTCTTGTGGTTGTGCTCTATCAGAAATAGCAGAAAACGCGGTTACTTGTAATTTGTTATCTTCCGATGCTTCCAGTTGCGTTTATGAACGCTCTTGATAATTTCATGGACATTACCGTGACTCTTGCACTTAAGCGTTTACGATTGTTTAATTAGACTTCGCATTTGTGTACTTGTTTGTTGAAGTGTTTAATGTCAGAGAGTCTGATCTTTGCACTTATCTACTGAATTTTCTTTATTTCGTAGTACAACTAAGCTGTTATCAGTTTAACGAAACATTTTGCTTACGTAAGGATCCAGTATAAATAATAACGTTACCTTGAAGAGATAATGCTCTTTTTCTGGACTGTAAACGTTGAAGCCAATGGTTGCGAATGAAAACCTATGAAAACACAAGTTTACCTTTAATCGACGTGCTTGAAATTGTATTAAAGCTATCAGGGAATGTGAGCAAAGTGTTTATCTGTCGTTGTTGCAAACAATTACTTGCTTTTATAACTGATTCTGTGTGCATGAATTCGATAGTCATTAAAGGGCAAGTTTTGCCCTTAAAATTCGGACAGCATTTCGCACGCTACTTTGAGCAACAGGTGTTCAAATTTTAATCGTCATAGGAAACGGTCCTACTTGTAAAAATTATGTGCATGTCCATTTACTGAACCAAAATTATGCATATATTGCACCGAAATTGCAAACCTTGCGAGGACTTTTAAGAAGTTCAACATTTATCAACATTTCGATCACAAAGCTTGCACGAGAAATTTATCCACTTTACTAAGTTGCACTCTTTCTGTGTACATTTTTTGTTATGCATTCTGTTCTTTCATGCAAACAAGAGCAGGACAGCGGGTTCAATCCTTAAGCGATCGTGGTACATATTGCCTTGAATATCAATTGCCTTGTGCTGCATTGATGTGCAAACAATTAGGTTGAAGCAGCACTTACTGCAATGAAAGATTTTGTAAAGTGCCCTCGGACTTACGTAAGCTTTTAATTAATGGTAATCATTACGGTAATTACAGTTTGAGAGTGTATTTTCTTTCACTTTTATCTCGTTTCTCGAATAGTTTTCTTTGTTTAATTTAGGTTTTCCTATGCTATCCAATTTAACACATGTGCTTTTACTTCGTTTTGATTTGAAATTAAACCTAAAAGCATCTTTGTTTCTTTTAATTTTTATAGGCAAAAGTTTTTGAAGACTGGAAAAAAAATTATTTTGAAAATTATCATTGAAGGAATGATATGAAACTTCGCTCTGGTTATTTTGTTAGAGTCAGTAGTAGAAGGCAAATGTTCATTAATATTAAATATTAGTAATATTTTAGAGAATACATGCTAATACTTAATAGTAAATCAGGGGTACACATAATGGTTATAAATTCATATATAAAATTTCAACCCTACTGATCAAAAATTCATACGAAGTGAAATTTCAATCCTAACAGTAGCAGATTCACACGACGCGAAATTTCAACCATAAAGCTAGTTTTAAATTCACACAAAGCAAAATTTCAACCCTAAAGCTAGTTGCAAATTCATACAAAGCAAAATTTCAACCCTAAAGCTAGCTGTAAATTCACACGAAGCAAAATTTCAACCCTAAAGCCTGTTGTAAATTCACACAAAGCGAAATTTCAAGTTTGTCTGAAATTTCGACCACAACAACCCTCTTAATTTCCTCCTATATCGCGTAAATTAGAATTAACCCTGATCCGTTATGCAAACTCTCGAAATAAACACAAAAGCAGACAACAATAACAATTTGTTACGACTGACACATTGCCAAGTCTAACGGTCTAATTCAGGTCTGGCTAAATTACTTCAAATGACAATCTTCCGTTTCGGCTCGTCTTACACAGTAGTTACTAACCGCAATTTCTTGGAAAATGCAATTAATATGCATCGCGATATTCAGTGAGGAAACGACGAATTTTTTCGCTTGAAATTATTTCAGTATCGTCAGTCCCCTCTTCGCTTACAGTGACATCAGGTCTTTCTCGCGGGGAAGATGAGGCATTCTGATGGAAAGCACAACTCAGACGTGGACGATCTTATTTCCTCGTAGCAGAATGACGACAAGATTCAATTTAACAGTTTGAACCACCCATTACTTTAGTCAGTGGATGTTTACTTCCTTGTTTGAAAAGTTGGACTTGTATTTCGTGCGTGAGGACCAAGAGTACTGTGATTTCAGCCAAGGTAATTACATCAATTTTTTTTATTGTTGCTCGTTTGTTTTGATTAGGGGTCTCTTTTACTTTTATGTACTCGTTTATTTCTATTGTGGGGATGTACGTCCATTTTTATTTTGGGGAGAGATATTGGGATGCAGATATGTGGATGTGTGGAGATGATGTGGAGGGTGTGGAGATGTGGTGAAATAGAAATTTGAGGATTTGTGGAGCTAGAGATCTGAAGGGGTAAAAATCTGATGATGTAGAAGTATCAGAATATAGAAGTTTGGGGATGTAGAAATCTTGCAATGCAGATGTCTGGGGACGTAGAGATTTGGGTATATAAATATGGAGGAATGTGGAGATACAGAGATGTACAACTTTGGGGATGTAATAGTCTGAAAATATAGGAGTTTGAAATTATAGAGATCTGGAGATGTGAAGATCTTAGAATGTAGAGATCTAAAACTATAGAGATGTGAAGATGTAAAAATCTTGGAGTGTAGAGATACGGGGATGTAAAGACTTAGCAATCCACAAATTTAGAAATCTAGAAATTTGGAAGACAAGAAATTTGGAAATCTAGAAATTTGGAAATCTAGAAATTTGGAAGACTAGACATTTGGAAATCTAGAAATTTGAAAGACTAGACATTTGGAAATTTAGAAATTTGGAAGATTAGAAATTTGAAAGTTTAGAAATTTGGAAATTTAGAAATTTGGAAGACTAGAAATGTGGAAATCTAGAAATTTGGAAATCTAGAAATTTGGAAGACTAGACATTTGGAAATCTAGAAATTTGAAAGACTAGACATTTGGAAATTTAGAAATTTGGAAGATTAGAAATTTGAAAGGTTAGAAATTTGGAAATTTAGAAATTTGGCTAAAAATCTAAAAATCTAAAAATCTAAAAATCTAAAAATCTAAAAATCTAAAAATCTAAAAATCTAAAAATCTAAGTATCTAAAAATCTAAAAATCTAGAAATCTAAAAATCTAAAAATCTAAAAATTTGGAAGTACTCCCAACACAACACATATTTCATAACATACCTAAAAAAAAAATCTACATATTTTCCTAAAATTTCCAACCCTTAACAAATATCAATGCACCAAAAATTTCTCAAAAAGTGAAACATCCAAAAACCTACATTAACATATTTACAAGTCTCCTTGAAGTCTACTTAAGAATTTGGAAGTACTCCCAACACAACACATATTTCATAACATACCTAAAAAAAAAATCTACATATTTTCCTAAAATTTCCAACCCTTAACAAATATCAATGCACCAAAAATTTCTCAAAAAGTGAAACATCCAAAAACCTACATTAACATATTTACAAGTCTCCTTGAAGTCTACTTAACCTCCAAATAAGTTTCCTCAGTCCGCACATTTCGCGATAAATGGGAAAAGATCCGTTATCCGTAAGGAATGTTAAGTGAAACGTGACACTGAGATTTGCACGAGATCAGACGTATTTTTCGATTGAAGTTTATTCGATAATGACATCCACGTGCTCGGATCGAAGCCTCACAAGTTTCAGAATAAATGATTCTTCAGACAACAATCACTATGGAAACCTTAGCGTGCAATGCAAATTAAAATCCTTTTTAATGGATTAGACGCTTAACGTCTCTTCTATCGTCAAGTACCCCGCTGTACGTGCAAACATATTTCCCTTGCCATATCAATGTTGTACAAAGAAGACTGTATCTACGTGAAGGCATCCATTATTCTGGCTTCTATTATTCCAGAAGGAGCATCCATTATTCTACATGAGTTGAGATCGATCGTTAAATCAGTTTCGTAGTACGATGTCTGAAGTCCTTTAAAATTATGTTACACAGTTTTGAACACTATAATTATGTTACATCTTTGGAACACCATTTGGAATTTCACGTGTTTTTTAATTCGTTCTTTAATCTTAATATTAGGAAAATTTATGTTGTTCAGATTACTGAAATTAATAGAAAATTAGGTGGTTCATTTTCAATATGTTTTGACTATTATTTTGGTTTAAATCACGTTTAACTTTTATACATATATTCTAAAAATATATTTATATATTCTTAAAACTTCATATCTGTTAAATATTTTAACTTCGATATAATTAGAGATTGATATAATAACTTTGCTATAATTAATTAAAAATTCAAACGTAAATATTGTTTATTAAACTTTTGTTTATTTCTTCCTCCTTTTGTAATATTAAACTCGATACCAATGTCAAGATCAGTGAAACAATCAATAAAATTAATAAAATTGCCAAATTAATTCATCAACACAAAATAATGAATACTTATTCATCTTTCTTAAGTATAAGAAATAACTTTATTATTTAACAAACTTGGATGTTTAAAATTACATAATAAAAAACAGTTATCGTACTTCTTTTTTTAAGATACTATAAGCACGAAGACGTAACTTCTTGACAATATTTACATAGTTCTGTTTGCCAACTAAGTCTTGATAAGGCGTTATATAGACAAGAATACTGAATCGTAGAAAAGGAACATGCGGTATTTTGTTGGCTCTAGTTACGTACCGCAGTGTTGTTTGCCGCAAGATTGCGTGAAAACCAGAACACACTGACCCGATTACTAATTTTAATCACCACAATTTATTAACAGGTAGATTATTACTGTGAAAATGGCTGTATTTCGTGTAACGTATTATTATGGCTATTTTAGTCAATTTAAGTTTACAATTTATCTTATCTTATTAATAACAATATTTTCATCTTTTCTTTCGAAAATTTAAAATTTAAATATTTTTAAGTGAATATTGAAAATTTTTTTATTGCAAGGTTCTAATAAGAGTGTTAATTAAATAAATACTGATTCTAAATTTTCCAATTCCAAAATTCCCCATTTCCAAAATGCCCCAATATCAAAATTCCCCAATTCCAAATTTATCCAATTCGAAAATTTCCCAATTCCAAAATTTCCTAATTCCAAAATTCTCCAATTCCAAGATTCCCAAATTCCAACATTCCCCAATTTAAAAATTCCCCAATTCCTAAGTTTCCATATTCCCAAAATTCTAATATTCCGAAATTAAAATCTTCGGTACTTCCAAAAATTAACGAACCTAATTAGTCCAACCTGCTAAAAGCACCACTATCAGAAATGATAATCCTCCCCCTTAATTTCAAAACACCCTTAATCACGAAATCAAAAGATTATCTAATAAACTCATCCTCCAATTTTAAATTCATCAGATTTCAATATTCATCACAACCCACCATAAAATAAATGATCACAAACCTTTGCCCGATTCCTTAATTAGCGAACATGAACTTTTCAATAATCCCGTAATTAATTAACGTATGTTGGTAATTCGCATCCGAGGGCGAGTCGCGTCAATTTCACAGTATAATAAACAGACTAATTAACCTTTCGCCTGATCATGGAACACCTACATAGATATCTATCCATTCCGAATATTGATTTTCTAAAAGAGGCGATTCTATTTCAGCTTTGATACAATTTGCCTGTCGATTACGTTCGATTGCGAGTAATTAGAAGCGGTCAGTGGTTAAGAGCGAATTAGAACAAGGGGATGAGAAGTTGATTTTTTTCTCTCTTTTTCAGTCGAATGCGACTCCGAGAATTGCATCCGGTGCACATTTTTACTGTAGGTGTAAGCTCGTGACACGGCATGAAGCTAAGCAAGTAAGAAGAAACCGTCGAGAAAAACATGGGGACGAATCAATTGATAGTGGGTGAGTTTTGGCAATGATTTACTACGCTTTCTTTTTACGGATCCGAACTAATCTCCTGAGTAAACGTAATTTATTGTTCATGCTCTTTCAATCGTTTTTATCCACCGTTGGAGTCCCGGGCACTTTGAACAATTTCAGCACAAACACTTAAAAATGTATAGAACAACTTAGGCGAAGACATTGTGTGTCCTAGAATTTCTCATATTTTATTTATTTATTTATTTACTGTAATTAATAGCTATTTTTTTACGTGATTCGATATCGGTACGATGTATTTAAGAAAATATGTTTTATACTCACCAAAGTAGTTTACTGGTAGTTTATAAAATGTTCTCACATTACTGTGATAATTAGATATTACCATTTTTATGTTTAGACTGTTTCAAGTAATTAAATAATTGACGTAGACTTTGACGTAGTTTTTAACTGCAACATTAATTTTATAATTATGTGTTTCTTGAGTCGTGAAACTTGTGTACCAAAATTGTTATAAATTTAACAAAACTATCTTCGTTTAATTCGTACACAGCAACAGTAGGCTAACATTGTCTATAACATATTGACTACTTAATTATTTCCTCCAATTCCATAAAAATATAGAGTCCCTTATTTTTTAATTTGAACGACAGTATATTGCAAAATTTAGTGTCCACTGAAAGTAAAAATCGATTCGAAAGCAATTAATCGCTCCACTGGTTCACGCAATATATTATCCCAAAGAGGTACGAACAGTTTAACGTGTCTCTGGAGTTTAGTGGGAAAAAGGGGGAATATTTGTTACGCGTCACGATGCTGTGTCGTCTGTCGCTTTACGCCCTGAGAAAACGCTAGCAATTTTCCCCTTGAAAGAATAATTATGCCTGAATAGTTAGATACGAATGGGACTGTGCTTTATCGATTGTTTCGGAGGTGATCGGGTGCACTGCTCCGGGTGAGTGTGCGAACGACGAAAACAGAAAAAACGTTGTCACGCGAGGCGAACTTACGATTAGCGTAGATAAGGGCGGATTTACGGTACACGTCGCTGGGGACAGATTTTATGCTTTGCTGACGAGGTTTTTTATATTAGATTCACTTTAGATATCTGCAATTTTAAGTTCTTAATCAATCGATTTCTGAAGTTTTGCGTTTTTAGATTTCTGGATTTCTATATTTTCAAAATTTAAGATTTTTAGATTTTTAGGTTTTTGAGAATTTTAGATTTTTAGATTTTTAGATTTTTAGATTTTTAGATTTTTAGATTTTTAGATTTCTAGATTTCTTAATTTCTAGATTCCTTGGTTCCCAAGTTCCTAGATTCCTAGTTCTCTAGGTTTACCACTTCGTAGGTTTCTACATCTCTAGATTCCTAAATTCTTAAGTTTCTATATCCCTAAATTTCTATATCCCGACATTGCTATTACCCCACGTTTCTAGATTCCTAGAGTTTTAGGTCTCAAAATCTTTAGATCCGTAGATAGCTACGTCCTCAAACCTCTAAGTCTACGCACCTCTAAATCCGTAGGAATCTACATCCTCGAATTCCCTAGGTCATGTATCCCTAGATCTTGAAATTGCTAAGTGTCCGTATCAGTAAATACATAGATTCCTAAATTTCCAAATTCCCCAAGTTTCAAATCCCTATATATATGGACACCTAATTACCGAAACCATTGATGTGAGGATACCTAGATCCCCAAATTTCAAAATTTATATCTGTAGGTCCTACGATCTCTACATCCCTAAGAAATCCCTAGGAAATATATAGAGAATCCCTACATTCCTATATATACTCTAGATCTCCAAATTCCAAGAAAATCCTAATTCAAAATTCTAGATATTCAAATTTCTCCCAAAACCTCAAATCTCTTCCCACATCAATAAATCTCTACATGTGGGATATTCTCACATATCTCTGTATCGCAGTATTTACAGTATTTTTAAATAAAAAATTTGTAACTATTATTTAAAACAATCTATTAAAAAACATTTGAGATAATTAGTACAAGAAAGTCTTTGCTTGTTAGCATTTTCAGTCTTCTCTAAGTAGCAAGTTGAAGGCCATTTCTGTCGCCAGCGACACGTTATGAATATACAATTCCCTTTCATTATTATTCTTCCCATGAACTACCTGTTCGTAGATCGTTGAGAAAAATAACATTTTAGAATCAATTACATTGGTAGGCACGCGTACGATCGCTGCACCTGTGCACGAGGTACGTACAAATATGTTATTAAAGTTGATGAAAACGACGGAACCGATGATCATCATTTCGTGATTGCATTTTCATAGTCACACTATGGAAATTTCATAGTCACACTCCATTAATCACAGTCTATAATTCTCGATAGTTTCACGAAATAAAAGTTTAAGACTATTCCTGTAAAATCGATTCGAAACATTCGTTGCAATTCGATTTATGAGATAAATGTAAATAGTCTGTTTTAATCTCGATTGAATATTGCACGAGAACCTTGACGTTTTATAACACCTAGAGACGAGAAACTCTTGACGCGTAAGTCGGAAATTATTGACTTATTCTACTTCCAGTTTCAGCCGTGCTTGCACAACATACGAAATTAATACAAGTGACTACAAACACCGCATTCATACTCTATTCTATAATCGAGATATCTGGATGTTTTCATCTTAATCTGGATACTTTAATATTAATCTAAGAATTCATATCTCAGGTAGAATCAGAACGAATGAAAAAGCAAATATTTCCTTAAATGATTATCAGTAAAAGATGAAATATTTAGATATCAAGATACTGTGTGAGCGTGTATAGTTACAATTGAACCTAGATGCAACCACGATAAATAGATTCGTTGCAATAGCGAAGGTAGTGACAGTAGGAACGACATAGTGGTAGTTCTAGCGATGTGCACCCCTTTCTTTGTTGTTCATGATTATCATTTCGTAGACACCCTCAGTTAAGATCATCGTTGTCATCGTCTAAAACAGTGACCAATGTTTCGTTTCAGCGGCAATTGTACTCGCGGTTGCCACCGTCTGTCGCGCGGAGTGCCAGAGTGAGTGATCAAACCAGCTTCTCTTCAGTGTCCTTCTTGTCATCGTTGTCTGCCAACGTTATTCTGCAGGGCTTGTTCTTTGAAGATTTTATTCATTTTTGTTTATTTTTTCTTCTACCTTTTATTTTACATTTATTTAGTAATTCAGTTGCGTAAGATCAACAATTTACGTTCTTCTCGCTCGTTCTTTTATATATTCTCTGCAATTTCTTTTTACTTTTTGTTGGATCTTTTGTTACGTGTAATACGAGCTTTCAAGTATTTTTACAAGCATTTTCGCACATTTTCTTTTGGAAATTACGATGCAAGGGGACGTTGCAGTTCATTGTGAATATGTTTTGCAGCTCGTTCTGTTTACTGCTACGAATGCGACTCGTGGACGGATCTCCGATGCAAGGATCCATTCAACTATACCGCACTCCCGAGGGATCAACCACCCCTCATGACATGTAACGGCTGTTGCGTGAAAATGGTTCGCAACGCAAAGTCACGTAAGTGTCGTTTAATCTTGTGGCATTTCATACAATTGCGGTTCGCAATAACTAGTATGTGATACACTAGAAACACATATGTGATCATATGTATATCTCCTCGTATGCAATATAACTTCCTTGTCCAAAACTATAACTTCAATTTTAAAAAATAAATACAAAACTCCAATCAAAAATTTATCATTTAGTTTAAAATTGTCTGGACTTGCATATGTTCAAAAATTAGAATTCATATAAATTTTACATTAGACACAAAAATTTTACTAATTAATCATATCATCATGTAATCATAGTAATGTTGGAGGTTTTTCACATATGTTCCAAAAGAATTACATTATTTATGAAATAAGTTAAGTTGCAGTTTCTTACGCGTCACATGCGTACATATGTTCCAAGAGAATTACATTATTTATGAAATAGGTTAAGTTGCAGTTTCTTACGCGTCACATGCGTACATATGTTCCAAAAGAATTGCTTACAAAATAATTTAAGTAGCACCTATGAAATAATATATTAATAATAATTTGTGATTTATTTGCAGCGTACGAGAGCGTGAGGCGGACCTGTACATCACAGCTACAAATAAACTTATTCATGGTGGACCACGTGTGCATGATGGAAAGTACCGGCACTGGTCACATGTGCTTCTGTGAGGAGGATATGTGCAATCGTGTCTCCCCGACCTCGTGTTCGAATCCCGCACTCCTGCTGATCCTGTCGACCATCCTTGTACTACGCTCGGTCATCTTAGGGACCCCAGCTTGCTTTGTAGAACGTTGCAATGGTCATGTCGTATAACACTGATTTTACTCGATTCACCCGGCAGTGGTTTGCGATCATATCCTCGTAGAGTTTTTAGTTTTAGTCGGCGACTAGAACTATCTTCGGGAACGATTCTGTCTGTACAGAGACAAGTTGGATACCCGCGAGCTCTCATACGCGTCTTTCTTTCCACGATGATAACGAGCGAGAGGTAAGATATACGTTTCTTTCGTCGAAGGAAAGAGGATCGATCGGAATCCATACAAATTTAAGAAAATAATCTGTCGTTCGAATCTCTTTTCTTCGCGGAAGAAGACTTTGCACTCTGTTTCGCTCATCCCTCTATTCGGCGTAATCAGTAGCGAGAAATTTCGATCGTGTTTTTCTCTAGACATATCATTCGACTCTATCACTCACACGATTTTACCGCGGTCTTTTCGATTGGTAACTCCTCGATCATGTGTTAACATCGTCATATATTCGTGATACACACGTCAGCAGTTTATCTAGTTAGCTTCGAACTTTGCCTTCCTTGCTAACCGGTGAAAACGTTTGAATTGGAACTCGCGAATTGATCAAACAGAGGAAAGTCAAATTCGTACTGCCAGAAAGTCATGCTTTACATAATTAACTTTTATCGGCGTCTCTGAAATCGTGTAGCTGTGATTTTCTATTCGACGAAGTAATGCTGCATGTGTTCTAGAGTTACGATCGAATTCACCTTTCTGTTTTTATTTTATCTTAAAAAAGCATCGTTCAGTAGTTTTTTTAGGCACTTGACCGAATCGAATCGATACCGATACCCGCGAGATATGCTTAGAAACTATTCGATGTTTCTCATTCAAGTTCCACTGGCTTGTTACCCGTATTTCATGTCAGAATAGGAAACGTAACATAGGTATAGTATCTGCAACGTTGCATCATTGCAAGATCTACGAGTTGTTTTAACTGTATCGATTCACATCTTCCGCTTCCCCATCGTGCACACATCCTGCACTGGGAGTGACCTTGAAGAGAACCTCCAAATTAAGGATGATTGCATAGAAACAGAGAGATGCAAAAATACGATGCATAGAAATCGATTGTTATATCACTTTTGAAGTTAGCGAAGATGTGTCAATTTTTGGTAGACATTTGATATGCAATGTTTGTACTGCTGAAGTGCTGATTTTAGATGTTGCAAAGGTGAAATATAAACTTCCTTTAGGTAAGGTTTTTAGGTCGATTTGGGGGATAGGATCAAATCAAATCTTTCTACATTCTCAAGTCATCATTTCAAGCTTTTGCATTCTAAAATTTCTATCTTCAAATTTCCACATTATTTATAAACTGAATTTTAAGATTTAATTTTAATTTTTCAAGTTTCTCAATTATCCCAAATTTCTACATTTCTAAAAGCTCAATTCGAATATTAAAACTTAGAAATTTCCTACTTTATTGATTCCAGTGTCCCGAATTTTCAAATCTTTGAATTTCAGAATTTCCGAATCTCACTTTCTAAATTCACTTTCTAAAATGTTTATATCTTTGAAAGTCTTTATACTCAAAAACTCACAACCAAAGTGATTTTTCTTAAGTGACTTTTCACTCTAGGTCTATTGTGAATCTTTAAAAAATCCTGCAAACTATCTGCTAAAATTTAGAACAGAGCTTAAAATTTTCCATCTTTCCAATAAAAAGTAGATATACTACGCAACAAAAGTAGATATACATATGCAACATTCGATATCTATGCACATGATAACCCGTTCAATATGAAATTCATGCTATTTTCTATTAATAAAAAATAGCGTTTATCTCTGTTTCTCGTAACACGTTTGTATCGTTATTATCGTACATTTTCCTGTTGTTCTATGTCACTAATGTCCCATATTGTGTTTACCCATTCGCCATTCTTAACGAGACACTAGTGTTTCGCGTGTCATGCACCATAAGCGAAACGGGAATGGCCCATAGTACACGGAGCTTAAGGTAGACAACGGTCTGGCATGGTTTCGGCATGTCCATCCGGCAACGTCATGAACAAAAAAAGCAACGACTTCGGAAGCCGAGCATCGACAGTCAGCATTTTCGAGTTCTACGTTCCTCGACTTGCGCGTGTGTCTTGCGAACTGTTACCATTCCAAATAAGTACCAAAATCTTTCTTTCACTTAAAAATTTGTCCAAAAACGATGGTCTTTCATCCAATGAATGTTTGTCCAATGACAAAATTTGGAAAGGTAATGTAATTCAAAATGGGAACTAATTTTTATCGATGAGCACTGTGAACCTAGTTACAGTGTTCATATGAGGTGTCGAGTTTTAAATAAGTTTTACAGAGTTAAATTGGAAAAAAGTTCCTGTAGAATTAACGATCGGAAGACACGCGCGCGTGTGTGTGTACCATTGTAGACTTAGTGAGTTCTGCAGTCACGTATTTAGCAGAAGTGTGTTCACACGTAGACAGGTGCGAATTCGAGTGCATGGATTGTAGCACTTTCAGTAACAGTCGAATGTCACAAAAGAACAGATCAGATAAGTTGCTATTCAAAAGATCTGTTCTCTGTTTGACTTTCGCCGTGCAACACTTTGCATGACACTTGCATGAATCTGTTGTTAGTACATTTGCGAAAGACAAAGGATTCCAAGCCCGAAGCCTGCCTCGAAAGAGAACGAAGCCTCCATTTCGAACAGTTCATATAAAAAATAAATGTAGATTCTCAATTGAGGCACGGCTTAAAATGAACAAACCCGAACACGAAACCTTCCACCCTGACGAATGCAACGCGAGGCAGATCGAACAAACAAAGCACAACGTGGGCCTTCAGCTTCGAACGTGCCACGCCAATTGAGAAAACGAATGCGTCGATAGGATCGCTTTAGGCTTCCGATTACTACGATTCTCGATGATGACGATAGATGACGGGCACGCAGCGAGGAACTCGATCGAGGAAAGCGACATAGACTCGCTCGACGAAGGTACTCGTGAACCGAGCTTTCGATCACGCGATTGTCTGAGGATACGGCTGGCACGGCCAAGTTGAACGCGCATGTCCTCACAGAGAGGCTTCCCAGGTGAAGCCTCTTGCCAAACAAGCTTCGGTGCTTGCGATGAAAAGCGAGCTACCCGATGTTTCTCTGGCAAGCCATGCGGCTCGTGTCGCGTCATTTGTTCATTGTCGCACGCGCGGCTGCGAGGCTATCGGTTTCCTTCTATCGCGGTTTTCTTCATTCTGCTCTTTTTTATTTCCGGTATGTCGTCGCGAGGCTGACCAACTTGCCTATTGTGGAAAAAATTGAAATTGGCGTTATAGAAATATGAGTGAGATTCCTCTAAACCTTATTTCTCTGGACCATGTTCATTTTATTCTCCTAGATCTCCAGATATAATTTCTTTTCACTTTCTTGCTATATATTTCAGTTCCAGGGTTCTTATAGCTCCAAATTCCTGTAGTTTTGGATGTTTATATTTCCTGGTTTCTGGACCTCCAGACTATTACATTCCAAATTTTTGTATCGACAGATTTCTATATGCACAGGTACTTAGAGGCCTAAGTGCTTAAATAACTTTTGCTACTAAATTTCATCAAATCCTTGGGCTTCTAGATTTCTATATTTCTAACTTTCTGTGCTCCTAAATCACTATGTTTCTACATCTCTTCTGCAGATTTCTATAAACACAAATTCCTATATTCGTTCACCTATGTTCCTATATATCTACATTCTCAGTCTCTTATATTTATAAATCTCTACATTTCCAGATCTCTATGTATGTCCCTAAACATTCGACGTTCCAGACTCATATTCCCAGATTCTAAGAATACCGTCTAAATTTCTATGATTACTATGATCATTGCTAGTAATCACAAAAACAGTCACAAGTTGCTGTCAAACTCTGTGACCCTTCTATTAAAAACTGTAAAGACCATAAAAGAATATAAATATTCGTGAACACAATAGGCACGTGAGGGACGCTGTAGCAACGTCGCTGAATCAGCATGTGATACGAGTGACTTTAAGTTTGGCCTCGCAGCTGATAGAATCCACGTATTGCTAGCGAAACGAGTACCATACGAAATAATAGCGAACTCGCTGAAATATCAAACGATCGAGCACGATCTGGATCTGATATACGTTGCAAACACTCTGTCTATGTGAGACTCTACTAGATATGTCAGCATGTTTTCTATATTTGTGAGATGTCGGATCTGTTCGTCTCGATCGAGACTATAAAAAAATATGCAGGCTCGATATTTATTTTTTGTTCGCCTATTTACACAAGCGCTTGCATAAGAGCCGAGCAGATTATCATCGATGTACGATTTGTTTGTTAAAGATCGATGTTTATACGCGCCGAAATAACCTATGTATCGATATGCTCTATATATTATACTTTTGATCTCGATGTTGGTGAGCATTGGCCATAATTGAATGGTTATATATATGATGAATATTTAACGATGCAAGTGTCAAGAACCCATCTGTCTTTTGCGTGTCGATGTGTATCGATTGTGTGTCGTTGCCCCGGGATGTTAATGACCCATTGATTCTTCGTTTATGTCAGTTCGATTGATTTAAGACGATTCTAGAGTATATTTGATAGCATGAAATGATGTTTCGATGGTTAAGTAGCGTTTTAAGCAGCACGTGACTTCGTCCTCTCCTATTTTGTTCTAAACGGACGCCATTTTCTTTCAAGCTTTACGGTGTCCAGATTACTCCAAGGTCTTATTGTTCCGAACGTGTACAAACAGAAGACATATCTAGCTCGTAAGGAAAATATTGGTTCTATTTTGCTTGATTGCCGCGTATTGGTTTAACCCTTTGCACGATTTACTCGTGTTAAATTTATCGATAGGTCAGTGATGGGGTAAACCAGCGTCTGAAGTTTGAGCGTTCGGAAATTTAGGTTTATGGGGATTCGAAGTTTGCTTGAAGATTTAGGAATTTCGAAATTTAGAATTTTAGACATTTGGAAGCTTAGATATTTCGGGATGTAAGAATTTGAAACATTTAGAAATTTCGAAGATGAAGTTGCAGATCTAGGAATTTTGGGCATTTGAGGATTTGGGTTTTTAAAAATATCAGAAATTAAAGAATTTTTAATTTGACAACTTGTAAATTTAAAATTTTATGTTTACAATCTGAGAATTTGAACTTTTGCGAATTTACAAGTGTGAAAATTTGGGAATTAAATTTGAGAATATATTTGAAAGTTTCAAGACCTGAGATCTTAAAAATGTAACCTGTGTTAAAAATTCAGAAATATAGAAATTTCGATTATTTAAATAACCAAATCCACAAATGCTTAAATTGAATATCTTCCAGTGTCCAAGGCAGTGTCCATCACTGAAGTGAACTATAATTTCGAAGCTTGAAAAGCAAACGCTTAAGCTTTTTAATCGCGTCAAAGGGTTAACGCACCGATTCGATTCGAAGAAATTCTGCGACGTTGACTTTGCTTGTTACAGCGTATAATCGATAAGACGCATCTAATTTTGTAATTATGATTGCAACCTTCTGCGAGGAGAAGGGTTCTAATCGCAGGTGATAGAGTGAAATAATTTTCCTTAATGCACATATCGTTGCCTTCGCGAAGTAATAATAATTTCTGGATAATAATAGGATTATTGAAGCTAACGTTGAATAGTTAAGCGCTGTTTAATGGTAAGCGTGATAGTAAGAATGTCGATAAAATCAAGCTAACTCTAAGAATGTTTATCGAGGCGAAAGCTGTTGACAAAGAATTATTTGCCCTAGTGTTTATTAATTTTTTACCAGAAGTAGTGTGATAGTGATAACAGACCATGGTAATAGTGTTAAGCAGTGCTTAGCTATAATTGAAACGATGACAATTGAACACGTTAATGTTGAACATGTAGTGTTAAGCAAGTACCTTGGTACAAATGCGACGGTGAATTTTTCTCGTTGAAAAAGCATGGGTAATGAATGTTTCAAAATTTCAGCCAATAGCATAAAACATATTGTCGAATAATTCATATTGTCAAATAATCGCATTCTGTGTTGTCCATTCTTCTAACAATCTTTGACGCAAATTGAACGCAATTCATTAAATCAGTATAAATGAATGTATCGAAACTTTAAGAACATATAATATTTTCACGAGCTTTTCCAAATTTCGAATAAGGAGGTGTTATCCATGCAAGTATTTGAAATGTTGAAATTGTTTAAAATGGTGCAACATTGCTCCAGTTGCGGATAGAAATGTTCAAGGAACAGTATATGAATGTTAGGAGCAAGCGCACGGTTGTAAGGGCATATTGTAATTTAACGATTGTTAATACGATTAAAAAGTGGTGTACCAGATCGCGATTTTATTGTTAAAGGCGAGTATAATAGAGTACCATATACAAAAGAAAAGTGATACTTTGTTGACTTACCTCAATGCAAAATATACATGTATGTGTACATATACCTTTCTTTCTTTTTCTTGTGTCACTTCGATTATAAGTCGAATCATTAACTCGATGATCACGAACTCTGTGCTGGACACATTTTCTCATATGTGGAATATACACGGCCTAGATTGGCCTGACGTATTGTCACGTACCATAATTCACAATAAACTTTATACGGTAATTTCTATTTGTATTTATTCGTCCATTTATTAGGTTATCTAAGACATTTTATACTCTAGTAGATTGTTTAGAAGAATTTTGTATATGGAAAATTTGTAGACCTCTACATCCCCAAATTCTCAGTTTCCAACTCTCATTCTCACACTTCCAGCTCTTCAAATTCTCAAACTTCCACATCCTCAAACACCCGACCATGCAAAAATCCAAATTTCCCAAATTCTGACATTTCTAATTTCAACCCAAAAATCCTTCAATTCCCAGAGTTGTATTAAAATAAATTTACCTCAGAAACTTTCAGGATTCATTTCAAATCCTAAAGTGAGATAAGGACGAAATGAAAGACGACAAAGACATTAAATTTAGATTTATTATCGCAGCTGATTACTTTCTTTTCAGCAATTTACGTGACCAACGAAACGCCACATTAAATCTGAACAACATAGAATCCATCGAGGACACGAAGGAATACATTCAGTCGGGAATCGACGATTCCAGTAACGTTCGCTAACTCTTATTCTTTCTTCATACAATGGCCGCATTTTCTACAGTAAACGTCCTCCTCGTTGATCTCTTTCCTGCCAGGATTTTTACGTTGATCGTGGATCGACAGATCACCGGTATACGGACGATGACCGATCGCACCGATAGTTTCGCTCCTGGGTAGACTAACTTCTGTCGTGATTATGGACGTCAGATCGTTCGAACAATCTTGAGAACCGTTTACAATCCCGTAGTTTGACTGACATTTAGAAGTTTGCCTTATGAATGGTTTTTCCACTGCCTCGGTATTTTGCGCTTCTTCGGTGGCGCATTCGATAAAAGTATCTGTTGATGAAAATGGGGAGAGTTATATGTGCGATTGTTATTCTTTGCAACGAGTAAGCAAAGAACGTTTTATAAGGGTTTGAAAAATGAATGTGAAGTACTAGCATTAATTAATGTTGCTTGCCATTAGATGAGTTATTGGCGTCAGATGTTTCACCGCTGCCAGAGGGATCTTCGTCTTCCTTTAACGGGAACTCGGAGGACATTTCTATGGCTGGACGGCAACATGCGTATCCCTGAAATGATACACAATGTTAAATGATATACAATGAATTGTAATGTGTATACAATTACATTAATAGATATAAGAACTTAATTTAATAAAGAACTTTTGTGTGTACGTTAATAAATAGCATCAACGGTAATAAATTATATTAAATTGTACAGGTTGTATAAATTATATCGAGTAAATAAGTAATAATTATATTAAGTAAGTCTAATATTAGATTTATACATAAATTCTTAAATTAGATTGTTAAATATATTCACGCAAAGAAAAAAGAAGCATTCTATTTATTTTACAATATGAATATTTGTAATTTTAAATTAAAAGGAAAAATATAAGAAAGAAGTAGCTAAGTTATAAACATATAGCATTTAACATGAAATCCCATATTAAAATAATTTCCTTCAAATTGAAAGATATAAAGGTTCCAAATGAATGCTATCACGTTATAGGAACTCCATTTTGATTTACCTGTACGAGGTCCATACGTGAATCTAAAGAAAATTGTTTTCCTGACATGAGGATTCCTCGAATTCGACGACGCATGGCTGGAAAATTATACCACATTGTAAGTACACTTATGCAGGCCTTTAATTGTATGAAAAATATTAACAGAATGCTTCATGTATGATATGAACATATGTTGACATATATTAGAATGAATAATTATTTTTAATTATATAAATAAATTATGTTGAATAATTATTTTCAACTATGTAAATAAATTATGTTGAATAATTAGTTTCAACTATATAATAATCAAAGTGTTTTGATTATTAAATAGATTAGTCATTATTATCTAACAAGATTTAATTAATCAATTATTCCGTTGTATAATAAAAAGCTAAATTACTTGCCACATTATATAATAAAGCTAAATTAAATAAGTTGAGAAGTACTCATTTGAATAGTGCTTAATTTTGTATTTACCGCGTTAAGCCGAACGGCTACCGACGACTACCGAATGAAACCGCCCCGCCAATCACCAATCGGAGTCAACTTCAGTCTTGTGCTAGCACGAAGCGCGGGTAGACGTTACTCAAAACGCGTCGCGAAATTGAAATCGTATATTTCTCAAGTGTTTGTGTCTATTAAAGTGTTTGTGACAATCTGGTTGTCTTTCACTCTTCATCTTTCACTCCATACGTCAGTCAACCTCGAAATTCTGGTAAGTGATTTTAATTCTCTTACGTGAACTGTTGTCTCTTATTTGACAACAGCTTCAATCGAAACGTTACCTAATGCGCGGGATTTTATTACCGTTGAGTCTTGAAACTGTTATAAAAGTATGTCGCGAGTGAAGTGTTATAGCTGTAATTACTATTTGTCGTTCATTATCTCCGTTTATTACAATATTCGGATGATAAGCCTTATCTGCACGTATTTGGGTCACATAATTAATGTAATTGGAATATCTTTATGAATCAATTTTGAGGTTAATTTATTGATAGCGTGAAACCTTTATGGTTTAATTGTAATATTTTTATGGTAAATGTGGTAAATTTGAATGAAACGAATTGTTGGACATTCGTTGTGGTGTTTCGTGGCGCCACTAGTACTTGGCTTTTGGCGGAAAATTTAAACTGTCTTTGCATTTTACAAAATTTTGTGAACGGAGACTTAATAATTTTTAGTGATGTTTTCATTATTTTCCAAAATTTCAAGGTTTCAATATTCTACAATTCTGCAGTTTTAAAATTCCATAACTCTAAAATTTTACGATTCAACACTCTTCAACATTCCTCAATTTTGATGTTCCAGAATTGAAGAACTCAAAAACTTTGAAATTTCCAAATTTAATAATCTATACATTCAATAATCAATAAGTTTTCAACCTTCGAAAATCCCAAAACTTGAAAACTTAAAAACTCCTAAATTCAATGACTTAGAAATTCTGAAGTACCGAATTTTCAAAAGCTTGAAATTTCAAAGCAGTAAAATTCTAAAATTACGAATTTCCAAAGCTTCAAAGTCCGAAAGTTCCAACTTCATTTACCTGGACTATCTCGGGCTTCGAGTCTCAGTTGACCGAAGGCCTTGGTGCATTCTTCAAATACGTCTGCAGTATCGTAAATAGCAGCAAAGCTGCCGTTCACGATTTTCGGTGACATTGGTGAGTTAGCCAGTAACAGACTCGAGCCAAAATTTTCATTCTTTTCTCGAGTATCTGAAAATCGAAAATTTTATTCTTTCGTCCAACATGAAACCTCAATATATTATCTTCGCCTCACAATTATCATTCATAAACAATAATTCTCAAAATAAAAGCACAGCCAAAATATGAATAAACTTAAAATTTACACAATGAAATAATAAATAAAATTAAATGAAGTCTTACCTGAACTTTCTGTACTCCAATGATAAAACGTTTTCACAAAAAGGAAGGAAAAAAACAGAAAAGAAAAAACAAAATAATTAATAATAAAAATATTTATTGTTTTCTACACAGTCTATTTGATATGTGTGCGTGTGATAGCAAATTCTGGTTAACATAACAAAAACATAAAACTTAAATAAAATTCTATGCGCATACAGTAAGGCCCGAAATGTTTCCTTGCCAAATGTGTACAATTTGGCATTAAATATCAGTTCTGAAACCATTAGACCTACAATTTTTATAATGAAACGAAAGTCAGCTATACTAATTGCAAATATGATCCCTGGTTTTTGGTTTTCGAGGTACAATAGATTTCGACACAAATTTTGATTTGTGTTTCTTGATGAAAGGTCATAAACAAAAGACAACAAAAAATTTTTGTGGGATAAGCTCCGATGTTCTACGTATAGTATGTTTGTTTGAGAATCGGTGTATACGGTGTTTACCTTTGTAGTTTAGAAATTGCAGGGTATGGCTTGTATCAGATCGGATCGTTTTTTGTCTTTGTTACCTGCTAGTGGAACTCTGGTTCGTACGGGAGAGCCCGAAGTGTCCCCTAGGATCTCGTTCGCTGTGTTTCGGATTTCTGCCCAGTCTCTTAAGATATCTTCGTTAGTTGTGCTGAAGGCAATGTCGAAAGTGACAATTAATATGGCTGTAAGTGGAAATTTGGGGAATGAGGAATTTGGGAATTAAGGAGTTTGAGAATTTGGGGATTAGGGAGTTTGAAAATTTGATAATTTTTTAACTTGGAAATTTGGGAGTTTGGGAATTTGGAGGTTTGGGAATTTGGAGATTTGGAAATTTGGAAATTTGGAGATTTGGAGATTTGGAGATTTGGAGATTTGGAGATTTGGAGATTTGGAGATTTGGAGATTTGGAGATTTGGAGATTTGGAGATTTGGAGATTTGGAGATTTGGAGATTTGGAGATTTGGAGATTTGGAGATTTGGAGATTTGGAGATTTGGAGATTTGGAGATTTGGAGATTTGGAGATTTGGAGATTTGGAGATTTGGAGATTTGGAGATTTGGAGATTTGGAGATTTGGAGATTTGGAGATTTGGAGATTTGGAGATTTGGAGATTTGGAGATTTGGAGATTTGGAGATTTGGAGATTTGGAGATTTGGAGATTTGGAGATTTGGAGATTTGGAGATTTGGAGATTTGGAGATTTGGAGATTTGGAGATTTGGAGATTTGGAGATTTGGAGATTTGGAAATTTGGAAATTTGGAAATTTGGAAATTTGGAAATTTGGAGTTTAGGGAGTTTGGATGTTTGACAATTTCAGGTTTTGGAAATTTAGGGGTTTAGAAATTTAGAAATTTGGCAGCTTGGGGATTTGATAATTTCAGGGTTTGGAAATTTGGAGATTTGGAATATTTTAGAATATAGAAATTCTGAGATTTGGAAATTAAAGCATTCAGAAATTTGGAGATATTGAAATCTATGGATTTGAGAATTTGGACATTTAGAAATAAGGGTTTGTTGGGATTGGGGATTTGGAAAATTTGTGTATTCGGTAGTCGGGGATTTAGAAATTCCGGGATTCCGGAATTGAGGAATATAGGAATTCGGAAATTCGAAATTTGGAAGATTTGTGAATGTTACAATTTAGGAATCTGGAAATATTGAATTTGACAACTTATAAGTTACTTATAAACTTGAACTTGAAACTTGTTAGTTGAAAATATAGAAATTCAAGAAATTGAAAATTTAAAGTTATAGAAATTTAGGAATTTAATGACTTGACTATTATGAAATTTGATAATATGAGAATTTGAATATGTCAGAACTTCAAACCTTCAGAAAATGAAATTCAGGTATTCAGAACCTTAAGTATCATGAAACTTGGAAGATTAAAAATATCTTGAGTAATATAGATAGTAATATAACGCATTAACTTACTTGGTAGAAGTAACAGTGAATCTAATAACGTATTTTCCGTGCAAAGCAGCCGGTACACAATGTACTCGTCCCCTCGAGTTCATCTTCTTCAGCAAACGCTCCGTCAATGTATTTTCACCTCGAAGACGAAACACTACGAGACCCAAATGTCTCGTGGCGGGAATTTCAAAACGCGGATCAGCTAAAACCAGTGCCTCGAACTTTTGTGCCAATCTAACCCCCTGCGAATTTTCGTTTAATTATAGTTACAGACGAATGCATTCAATATTAAATCACCTAAAGTACAACTATATAATAGAGACCTCTCGAATATGTTTTTGAAGACCGGTAATTCCATAGTTTCTAATGACGAACCACAGTTTCAAGGCTCTGAATCTCTTCGACAACGGGATTTGCCAGTGCTGAAATAATTAACATTAACAATAATTTGGAATAATTTTACCAATAAATGATCGTTGAGTTCATTATTCAGTTACCATGTAATCGATAGCGAGTCCTGAAAATGAAAAAAATTAGTTAAATATTGTATTTATGTGAGATGTTTTGATTTAAAAAAATTTAGGTTCCTGATTTTTACCTGAATTTTCGTGCTTCAAATAGAGGGGGTCCACGTTAAATGTTCTGTGAAGTGCTTGACTACTTTTCACCCTGGAAGTATAACAGAAATAATTAATAATAGTTCATGTATTTATTAAAAAAAAAATTAATTAATTCTGTATCACATTTCTGTGTAATCGTATCACAATTCTGTGTAATAGTCTGAAATATTTATTTTTCTGTCGAAAACATCAAATGATGCCAATTAATGTTCATCATCAAATATCTTCTTTTTTTACTTTAAACAAAATAGTCGAAAAAATCTAAAATTGTTTAATGTCCGAACTCTCTTAGAATGTGGTTTCTAAATGTTAAGATTTACAGTCATCAACGATTTATAGTAATGTAACAAATTCTTAGATGTCATTATTCGCCCTATCTGCTTTAACGAACACTCAAACATCGTTCCGAAAGATTGTGAATTATGCAGGGTCGGCCGAACGATTCGACGGAAATTGCAGGAAGAATGAAAAAACCGATTCTGCATCCGTTCAACCTATAAGTTGTGAAAGAGGTCGATAATGTTCCGGATTTATAAATTTATTAAGAACACAACGTGTTAGTAAACTTATTTCGTCACGTTTTCGTTTGTTTTGTTTCGTTGTTTAGTTGAAATGAAATAGTTAGGTTGAATTCGAGGAATAAAATTCATTTTCATTATGTCGTGACTCACCACATCGCGGTGCAATCGAAATGCACCATCAGCCATTTGCTAGGATTAAATGCGATTGAATCGGCGTATTCTATTCCTTGAAGCCAACCGCGGAATTCGGGGCACACGAATGCGCTGCCTGCGTATGCTGCGTCCACGTGCACCCAGAGACCATTTTGTTCACCTGTTCACATAGAAAATGATTATTTGCTAAAGGTTTATGTTCTTTTATTTTTAATAAAGAATAATTTCGTACATTTATAATAAAGAATATTTTAGTGCATTTATAATATAGAATATTTTGATACATTTATGATAAAGAATATTTTCGTACATTTTAAATAAAGAATGTTTTTGTACATTGCTAACAAAAAATATTTGCTTATATTTCTAATAAAGATTATATTCTTACATTTTTGATAAAAAATATTTGCAGACATTTCTAGTAAAAAATATTTTCTCATATTACTATCAAAGAAATGTTGTAAAGAACATTTTGAAATATTTCTTTCCACAAATTTATTTTCTATAAATGATATTATACACTGTATCTATTTTTGCAATTAAAAGAAGCATATTGCAAAACGTTTTAAAAAATGAAAATAGTATTGTTTCCTTAATGTTATTAATTAAAAATGAATGTGGTTTACACTGTACTTACACACTTGTCCAATTTCTTTAAGATTGTCGAACGCGCATGCGCCAGTAGTACCCAATGTACAACATACCTTTATAAACAAATAAAATTGCATACATTACTTTAACTTATTAGTTCTATTTTTTCATTCATTATTGTTCATTATTCAAAATAAACTCTGTTTTATACAATCAATTCCCCTTGATAATTGAAGTAAGTAATATAGTAATAACATTTCCTTTAATTGTGGCTTAAAATTCATTTTTCATTTTTCTCCCTGAATTATGTTGAATGCATAATCTTCTCCACTTATTTGTAATTAATTCATGTTCGAATGGATAATTTCCTACAGTCATCATTTCATTACCATTCACTGATAAGTCAAATTGAAAAGTCAAAATTAATTTCATGGCAGTGTTAAATTGCTTGACAAGGTAATGGATTACACACATGTTGTAAATGAAGACACTAATAAATTGTAAAGTCATAATTTTGAATTAAGCTAATGAATATTATAAATATATAAAGAAGTAAATAAATAAATAAATAAGTAAATGTCAAAATTATAAACGAAGTTAATAATGAACTAAAATTTCTTCATAAAAGTAATTTTATTGATAGTATTCAATCTCACTAAGGATAATAGGTTCTCCGCAAGCATCTGATCGAATTGTTGTTATAAAATGAAACCTACTTTTCCATACTTTGTATTTACTATCTTGAAAAATAGGGGTTTGCTAGTCTACGTCCTCAGGGACCAACTAGCGAAAAGACAATCCTCCTTACAACGTCATGTCCGCCCTCTTTTCTACCCTAACTACTGGCAACTCTGGGAAGGTTAATTGGCAGGTTGATCTTTCTATATTGCAGTACCATCCAATCTAATGACGTTAATTGGAACCATACAATTCATGCACCATTTTTTAAATCATTTCGCATTATAATTTAGTATTATATATCATCGTTTAAACGTATTAATTGTTTCAGTAAAACTTTTGTATATCATTCTTATTATTAATATCGATAGCTAATTTAGCAGTTTTATCTTTCAATGTATTATACATAATGAATGTATCAACTATTGATCGAAAATTATAACCACTCAAAGTATATATTCTTTCAATAATTAATGTAACAAAATAAAAAAATAGTGTTTTTGACAAAACGTGAGTTCAACATGAAGTTCAATATGTTAAAATTTCGACAAAATGTGAAATGATACTTTGAAAAATGTGTAAGATCAAACATGAATCCACTCAGCTCGAAAGCAAACAACTCCTTTAAGGTCCTTTTCTGTTTGCACGATTTTCTTAGATTCGAAGCCAAACACACAATAAAGAGAAAAGCAAATATTGCAGATAAACCTATACACTGAGATAACTGAATTTCACAAATCAAATAATCTGTTTGTCTTATGCCACAGTTGATACGTGCATCACGTTTAAATATTTTCCTTGAGGTTTCCGAGTATAAGACACTTCTAAATCATTCGGCGAATCGTAACTAAACTAGTATCATAGCAATGTTTCATTGGGATGATGTTTCTTTTTCATTTATGTAGTACTCACAAAAAAGGGAAGTAAACCTTCGGCTCTGTCTTGAGTTATCGCTTCGAGTAACGCTTCTCCTCTCATACTTAGTTGTTCATCGGCTTCAATGTACTTCATTCGTACTAGACCGATCAGTCCTGCTTTTTCCACGCTGGAGTGAGCCTGTAATATACGCACACTTGTCGTAGTTTATCAAATTTTAGATGACAATGTCTTGAGGTGGTGGATCTTGAAGTAATAGGTTTTGACGATTTTGGAATTTCAAGATTGGGGATTGGAGAAGTTGGAAATTTGGGGGTGTAGAGATTTGGGTGTGTAGAGATTTCGGGGTGTCGAGATTTGGGGGTGTAGAGATTTGGAGGTGTAGAGATTTGGGGGTGTCGAGATTTGGGGGTGTAGATATTTGGAGGTGTAGAGATTTGGGGTGTAGAGATTTCGGGGTGTCGAGATTTGGGGGTGTAGAGATTTGGAGGTGTAGAGATTTGGGGGTGTCGAGATTTGGGGGTGTAGATATTTGGAGGTGTAGAGATTTGGGGTGTAGAGATTTCGGGGTGTCGAGATTTGGGGGTGTAGAGATTTGGAGGTGTAGAGATTTGGGGGTGTCGAGATTTGGGGGTGTAGATATTTGGAGGTGTAGAGATTTGGGGTGTAGAGATTTCGGGGTGTCGAGATTTGGGGGTGTAGAGATTTGGAGGTGTAGAGATTTGGGGGTGTCGAGATTTGGGGGTGTAGATATTTGGAGGTGTAGAGATTTGGGGTGTAGAGATTTCGGGGTGTCGAGATTTGGGGGTGTAGAGATTTGGAGGTGTAGAGATTTGGGGGTGTCGAGATTTGGGGGTGTAGATATTTGGAGGTGTAGAGATTTGGGTGTGTAGAGATTTCGGGGTGTTGAGATTTGGGGGTGTAGAGATTTGGAGGTGTAGAGATTTGGGGATATAAAGATTTGGAAGTGTAGAAATTCAGAATTGTGGAGGTTTTGGATTATAGAGAGTTGGGGATGTAAGAATTTGCAGATGTAGAAATTTGGGCCGTAGAAATTTGGGAATGCAAGGACTTGGGGATGTAGAAATTTGGAAATATAGGGATTTGGAGATGTAGGTATTTGGCGCAATAGAAATTAAGAAATATGGAGATTTAGAAATATGTATAAACAGTTGGGGGTATAGGTATTTGGGCCTGTAGAAATTTAGAAATATAGGGAGTTGGAGCAAAGGTGTTCTAACTACAAAAATCGTAACATCATTTGAAAATAGTACAACCCAAACTTAGAAATTCAAATCTTCATCAACTCTCCAATTAAAAAATTTGCCAAATCTAAGAACTTCTAAATCCGAAAAAGAGTATCCAAAACTTTGCTACTTAAACCATTTGTGAGAATCACCGGACCACTCAAATAATAATTAATTTCCAAAGGAATTACTCCGAGCCACGATACAATTCGAGTATTTATTAAAAAAGATACCTGAGGGAATATAACAGCGTAAGGGATGAAAAGGTTCTCAAGAACACTTACTTGATCGGAACAGTACGCGACAAGACGCGAATTAATCTCGGCTGGTAAACGGTCTGGCTCATTTTGTTGAACGTCTCTAATGGCTCGAGTTCTTGCTGCCAGTAAGCAAACGAGGGTGGCTTCTGATGCGGTTGTTTGTATCACGCCACCGCCTCCTGATCCTCCAGGACGATGCAGGAATTCTTCTGGCAGGCCAATCATCTTGCCGAGCCAATTCATTACTATGGTCTCTAGTTCCGTGCACGCAGGGCTGGAAGCCTTTTAGTACAAATTCGTTCAAAATTTATTTTGTTACAAACAAGATGGGAGAACAGAAAATAATTGGGGTTACATATTTTTGTTGGAATGGTTTTGGAAGTTGAGGGTTGGAATTTTTATTTGGTGTTAAATTATAGTTATTTATTCAATTTTATGTCAAATTAAATGGATTCATCATATTATTTATGCAATTAGTGTCTAGATACTGCGATTTTTTTTTAAAAGTCTACTTTTTTCTACGTATTTTCTTCTAACTCTAAAAGTAATTTAATCAAGTAAGAATGATATAATTAATTTAAAATTTAATTTGAAATTATTTCATACTTTTACAGTCATCTTTCTATGTAATGTATTTTCTCTCATAGCATATTTTATTTTCTTTTATTATTTTATTTTCATTTACGTAACAATTATGAATTACAATTTGAAAATTTCTAAGTTGACATTATAAATTTTATATATAGGTTAAATATGAAAAGTAGTATCAGTTTGGTATGGTTTAAATATAAAAAAGTATATAAAGTTAAGAAGAGCTATATTTCATACGATTTGCCATCGTGTGAAACTTCTCTCCCTTGCGATCAAAGACCTTCCCTTTCAACAAACTCTGACGACGGAAACGAGTATTAACGGCAGCAGACAAAACGTCGAACTTGAATAGTACAAGTTTCAAAGTGCATTTAAAATAAAGTTTCTTATGCAAAGCGAGATCTGATGTTCATTTACACCGTGCAGAATTACGATAATTGTAAACGTATGTAGAACATTCTAAGTATGTATGTGTCTTGAATATTTTAATTCGTAATGTTCGAATATGTATCTACAGTGAGATTGTAGATCCTCGTGTGGAGGTTAGGATGTGCCAAATTTCAAAATTTTAAGGGTTTCATATTTTTAAATTTTTAAATTTTCTAATTACTGATACACAAAATTCTTAAATTTCTAAATTGTCAAATTGTAAAATTCGAAATTGTCGAATTTCTAAAATTTTAAATTCCAGAGTTTCCAAACTTGCGAATGTTCAACTGTACAAGTTCTTTAATTCCTGAAACCCAAAATTCTTAAATTTCTAAATTCTCAAATTCCCCAATTCCTAAAACCCAAAACTCTCAAATTTCTAAATTCTCAAATTCTCCAATTCCTAAAACCCAAAACTCTCAAATTTCCAAATTCTCAATTTCCACAAATTCCAAAATTTCCGAAATGTTTAAATCCCCAAATTCCTAAAGATTCAAATTCTGCCAGATTCAACATCCAAATCTCGAATTCCCAAATTTCTAAATTCCTACTTCTCGAAATCCCTAAATTCCAAATTTCCAACCCTCTCAATGAGTAAACTCCTACATTTGCATATTTCTCATTTCCCAAAACTTCATTTACTTTTCCCATTCCACATAAAAATCTTCATTACACCAATGTCTCTATTCCATATTAATTTCCATACTGATCCCCATTTGATCGGAAGCAATCATAATTTCAATTGATTAGCTAAAGGTATGATGTAATTGCTTCATACCTACGTAAACGTTTCCTACGTACAGTAATTCTCAAAAATGAATTCAAAGAACAAATAGTAGAATTAATATATAGAGTAAACCACGATAATAATAATTAATAATGTGATAACAATATTGTAATTATTCTTACCCAAGTAAATCCAAGACAATTGATCGCGTCAGCCAACATATCGGCTAAAAGACTAGCAGGTGAATTCAAGGCTGGAAAGTAGGCATGCATATGCGGACTTTGCCAATGGGTGACTCCTGGCATAATGCATTTTTCGATGTCTGCAAATATGTCCTCCCATGGTTCGCCATCCACCGGTGCAGATGCAGGTAGAACGTTTCTCAAGTAACCCGGTGAAACGGCCGGATAAACTCGTCGAGATCGAATGTTCGCCAGATAATCGGCGATATAGTCGACCATTTCTTTTCCTGGCGATGTGAAACCGTATCAAGCGTCGTATTATAGTTTATAAAAAGATTAGTTCAATAAAAGGTTTAGTTCAAATCAAGTTTCTCCTCGCTATCTGGTCAAATTGTATTAGAAAACACTGTTCATTTCTAATCGTGATGTTAGTCATTTTATTTTTAAAGAAATCTAAATTTATTTCTAAATAAATATAATTAATAATTATTGCGATATTTATCTACATATATGTATATGTGTGAAACTTTCACATGTTTAATCAAAATTTATTTATCATTGAATATGTAAGATCTTCTAAAGTGTAATCGATATTACAAATAATATTGTAGTTGATAATTTTGTAAGTGCTATAGCAATTTTCTATGTGAAACGAATGTCACCAATGACTGTGACACAGTATAAAAATTTCTTAGAAATCAAAAATATTGTTTCTTCGTTGAGGCAACAATACATGTAATCCAAAGTCAATCAGAAAATTAAATAACCACATTGAACACGAATAATATTGCAGTTCATAATTTTGTGAGTGCTGTAGCAATTTTCTATGTGAAAATCTGAATGTCACCAATGACTGTGACACAGTATAAAAATTTTTTAAAACTCAAAAATATTGTTTCTTCGTTAAGACAACAATACATGTAATCCAAAATCAATCAGAAAGTTGAATAACTTTGAACACGTCCGATAGAAAATCGATTATCTCCGTTCATTAACTTCAAACAATCTTGTGTGTATCGATAAAATACTTTGCCCAATCCCTTCGAACACCGTGATTGTTTCTTTCCCAAATCGTTTGCGGACGACAATGAAATTCGTGTCGTTGTTTAAACGTTTCCTGAAAGCTCTAAATCAAACCTTGTTTCTCGCAAACCTGCAATTTCCTTCTATAAAGTAATTGAACGATAGAATTCGATTCTAATTTGGCCGAATTTTATCGATGACAGGGACGATATTTCCGCGCGAAATTGAATTTAAGGAAAAGGGATGTTTCGTCCGAATCCTTTTTGCCTAGGATACAAAGATTTAGACTGCGAACACAGAGTCTAACGTATTGGAAATCGACTCCATAAAATTCCCATAGACTTACTACCGTTCGGTGATCCTCTCTATTGGCACCGTGACTCTCTTTATTGGCACTGTTTTAACGCCTAGAAACGTATGTGTCGGCGTATTGTAAGCTTTCTTTTATGATAACATTACAAGCGTTTGCAGGAATCATAAATATTCATCACGTTGCAGGAATTGCATTATCGGAACGGTGATCACGAAAATTTACTACAATTATTTTATTTCGAATCAATACTTTTTTGTGAATACTTGGACTAAAACCCTGTACAAACCCTGGTAAATATCTTTTGAATTTTTTGTATATTTATATTTTTCAAATAAAGACTTACCATGTTGACGGTACTCCTCTAGATTCATGATATCTGTAAAAAAAAAATTATGGTAATAATTACTGAAGTATCGAGGTGTAATATGACAAATCCTTAGAAATATTTAGTGTAGGATCAAATTTTCATCGCACAACGTATCACTTATAATTTTAATATTTCACTTTTGCCGCCATAATTCTAGTATCTTATATACACTCTACCAAATATAGATCACAATAAAAAAATAAATAATTCGCAAGATTAAATGAAAAAATAACGACACCAAAAATCGCCAATTTTACACAAAAGCAAACGAGAAGTGGTCTTAATTTCACGAAATATGAGTCATGACGACTCTAATTTGTTTAAACACATGTTCCGAATATATGTATATTCATAAAATGATTTACTTTTAGCATTTATAACATTTTGACCACGAGGCATACAATGTACGCGTTCGCTCGTTTATGTTTCATAAATAATAGCATAGTTGTAAAAGTGTTTTTTGAGTCTAATTATGCAATAAGTGGCAACTAATTACTGTGATGAACTTATAACAGCCACTATCGTTTTAAATGAAGTGACGTGTGTAGTTTATGAGCTCATATCATCGTATGCGAAACATTTAAAAAAATCTATTTGTGTGAGAAAAGAAAATGGTACATGTACGCACAAAATGGCTCCGCATACGTGTACGCATTACTATAGCAGACAAATTTTTGCTTCACCGTTTTATCTTTCAAATTTCTCCTATAATATATTACATCAGTAATATCAGTAACATATAATATATTATATCTACATTAAATTACAGAATACAATATAGACATATGATATAGAATAGAATATATAAGGTCTACAAATTAGTTAGCAGAAAATAATGTTATCTACATTATATTATATATGTATATTATTAACTAAAAAAATAATAAACCGAGCAATATACAAATAAAAATATTGATCAACACTTTGAAGACCACAGAAAGATTCCGCTAAAAGAATCTTCTGATACCTCGTTCGATTTTCAAGTATCAAACTATTAAGAATAATATAATGTACAGCCGAATGAAATGTACATTAATAAAATGGCCGACTTCATTAAAAATTTGCACGTTACCGAAACATAATCCAGTACCAAATAAAATAATGTACAGCCGAATTAAATGTATATTAATAAAATGGTTGACTTCATTAAAAATTTGCACGTTACATAGTGATCAAAGTGTCAGCAATACTTGCACGTATTTGTCAAAGGAAGATTTGCTTACCGTTGAATCTCACAATAACCAAATTTCAAAATTTCGATGGCACCGTATCAGGCGCATGTGGTGACCCTTAATTCACCGAATGGAGGATTCGCAGAAGGAATCGTGGAATTCGCGGAAGCTTAGCGCAACGACGCAGCGGATTTCAACGAGCGTGCCAACTAGATACGCTTAGGTGCTTTATGCGTGTTGACCTAGCATCAAACTTTAACGCTACGATAGGTACTCGCGAATGATTTGTACGGATTCATCATCGATCGCTTGTCACATGGGCCTAGAGCTTATTAGGCTAGTGTCACAAGGCTCCTCACGGCCTAGAACTAGATCAGCTTCTCTGAATTCGACTGCTCTGACCTTCCTTTCACTATATTTACCAAAAATTCTGAAAGCCTATCCGTGAGTGGTAAACATTAACACAATTATGTATTATGACCTTATGTAGTATAACAACCCTTAATGATCACACTTCTTTAGAATAAGCTGGTTCACAGAGAAAAGACTCCACTAGAAAAGTTTCTAGCAAAGAAGTTATTCATTGACCTTTAAAATAATTATAAATAATTGCTGAAAGATTCACAGCTCATTTAAGCAAATATAAACTTTGCATACGCAAGATATGAGAATTGTGAACAAATTCAAAAAATGATTTTCAAAACTTCAAGACTGAGTGTCCAAAACTTTTTCGATTTTAATGGAAAGAGGTAAAATTTTTGCTGAACAATCTTGACATATAACAGTTTGAAAAAAAAGCAGTGTAACAAATTTATTCAGATTTACGTTCAGATTTACGATATTCAGTGGCTAAAATTGAAGCTAAGCAGGGGTCGTTTGATACTCCAGGATTAAGGGTTGGTAAGAGGTGGAAATCTTTCCTTAACAAAAGTGAACATGCATGGCTATATTCATTTATCGTTGAGTACTACAAATAACTATAATCGTACGTAATTTTGCATAACAATCTTCTTATGAAGAATTATGTATTTAACTTTCACAACGTTTTGTACTTAAACATGATTAATTTCGTATATATGCGTGTGGTAATAACCAGAATTAGTATGGATTAGATATGCATTATTATGTAATTTTATCTTGGTTCCTCAATGACACAAGTTGTTAAACTTCCGATTATTTTGTACAAAATTGTTTTACTTTTCATATGAACAGTTATGACGTATACACGTTTTTGAAGGTAAAAGTTAATTTACAGTTTGTTAACTACCAGTTTGTACAACTATTAACTTTGTAAAATGTACAAAATTGTAAAATAGATTATTTAACAGGGATGATTTTTTTAAAGTAAAAAATATAATCTGTATTATAATTTTCTTTGTCCTATTGACAGAAAACGAATAAAAAATAGTCGTAAAATCATCAGCAACATAAAAAGAAAAAAATAGCATATGTTATTGTCTTAGTTAAAAAACGTACAAATACTTGTAAATTCTGTAAGAAACCCCCTTGCCGTACAATTTGTCAGATGCGTCAAAACTAACTATTCATAGATATAATGTTGGAACAAGCATTCAAAATTAAAATGTGAATATTTTATATTCAGCGATCTTTGATAGTGCAAATTGCAAAATTTAATTGGACTTAAATTTTAAGTTAAGTATTAAAAACTTGAGTAAGATTTGTTATATTTGAGCTGGGAGTGTCACGAATGAGACTCGTCAAAGTACAAGGGGTTAATTAATGCGAATAGCCTGATTCTGTATTAAGAAAGTGGACAAGTTTAAGTGGAAACGACGTGTTTAAGATATGCTTAAAACATAATCCTATTTGGAGAAACATAGAATCTCACTCGCGAGTATCACGGAAATCAGGGGTTGTTTATGTCTTCCGCAACGATTGGACCGGTCAAGTCACGAACCACATTCTGAGAAATTTCTAACTCCATTACTGCCTTGAAGTATTACAAATTTCTATAAAATGAAATCTTACAAAGTAAAGATTGAAGTTTGATTTTCAAAATACAAGGGTGATCTCCGTTTTTAGTATGTAATAGTTCATAAATACATTTTATTGCGATCGATGATCCTTGTTCGCACCCCCAATAATGTCTAGGGTTTATGAAAAGGATCTACCCACAGGGAACGATCAAGACGTTATCATCCACTGATTACACACAAGAAAATAAAAGATCCGGCAGGCCCATACGGGCGTAAAATGGAAAATCGAACATCGACAGTCACAAGGATCTCGAGCTTAAGCCAGAGTGACGCTCGACGATATTAAAAGCTCGTCCTTCCACCGTTTCCGTTTCCGACTTTTGTAATTTCCCGTAGCTTTCAGTATTCGAGCGTGATTCGAAGGATTTATCAGCGATGCCTGTGCTTATGCATAACGCGGTGAGTCATCGTGTTTGATGCTGATCCGCGATCTCGAAAAATACGGATTCACCCGATAGAGATCAGACAATTGATCGTTTTACCGATTTCACGTCACTTGTAACAACTTTTACTACTATCGAATGTTTCGTTCAGGTGAATTTAGAAGACTGACACGAGACGGGAACTTAAGTTTGATACGTTGCGGGGTTGATTAGAGGGGTTGTTAGATGGAGGGTTGTGCATATTTTCTAGGTGAATTAAATTGGTAATTATTGATATAATATGTAAAAGTAATATTAAATGCAAGTATCAAAGGAAGGGGGTGTGATAAATATTAGGAATAATATTAATAGCAGTATTTACATCAAATTTAAGGCAAGGGTAGTGAAAGAGAATTCACTGATAAAAAATAATTTTTGAACACATACATGTGATGAATATTAAGATTATTAGGAGTAGTTGTGCCAATATATAAGTAAAATAAGGAAAACTTTAGAAGATGACTATTTTCAGATTCATGAATGAAACTATATGATATTTCCATACATACTTCACCCCATTTACTAAAAAAACTTACGAAATTTGTCAACCACGATTTCTTCGATCTTACTAAAAAGAGCGCTACTTTAAAAATTACCCTTCAATCTATCACATAAAACCAATCACCATTTCTGCTTTTTTCCTACTAAAAAAAGCGCAACCTTCACATAAAATTACCCTTATTACCCTTGAAAATTTACATTTACTAAGATTTGAAATCTTGACACCCAACATACACGAATGAAAGTACAAAATATTTGTAAAAAGTCGTACCTGTAGTTTGTAGTCGTACGATGATCAAAAGTAGCGAAAGTTTGGAGAGAAATTCTTCTCGCAAGAAATTCGGGATCACTTGAGTGTCGTCGAGGGGGATGATTTTTCAGTGATCCGGAAAACAGATATATCCACGGTTGAGGAGAATCAGTGGAATGCAAGTCGTTCAACAAGTGGCCGCTTTTATACAGAGACGCGCTAAGTACAAGCTGTTTTAGCGCAAGCGTAGTCGAAGAACAAGGAACAATTTCAGTGACTAAGCTCTGTGATCTTAAGGGACTGCCGACCAACGTTTTTTTACGATTCTTTGCGCAATCTCAATTAATCTTTCTCGATGTTCGTGAAACGGCTCGAAGATTACTCTGTTTCTTTTTTTAAGTTTACTTTGCTTTTAAATCACCCTGTACTAGGCTAAGATAGCGCAGGGGCAATAATTATTTTCCTGCTTTTAAAAACGTAATCGAGTTTACTTGTTATTGTAGATAAACATTCCGGTGTAAATTTCATCGCTTTCAGTTGATGGTTAGGTTTAGGTTTGATGGTTTGGGTGTCTAGAATGTTGTTCGAATAGGAAACTGGATAGTCATTTGGAAACTTGCTTATATTTTAGTAAGTAGATTACGTATAATAGAGACCTTAGAACAGGTTAGACTTTATTACATAGAAATATAGAAATTTAGGAATATGGGAATGTAGGAATTTTAAGATGTACATTTCGATGTAATGTAAAGGGGGTGGAAAACAATTTGAAATTTTCATGGTTCTAAATCGCTTTTTAAACTTCGACATTTCATATATTTCAGAATTTATATATTTCTGAATCGCCAAATTTTTAAGTCCAATTTCTTGAAACTCTAAATTTCTAAAGACTTAAATTCCTAAATTCTAAAATTTTAAAGACTCCTAAAAACCCCAAACTTTTAAACTCCCAAAAATCCAACAGGCTAAATTTCAAAAATCCCCAAATTTCTATATTTTCAGATCCCAGCATTTCCAAATGTTGCTCAAATTCTAAAGTTCAAATTTTCTAAATTGTCTAAATTGTCCAAATTTTCTCAATTCCTAGATCCTCACATTTCTGAATATCCCAAAATCTAAAATTCTGGATCCTAAATTTCTACGAGTCTAAATTCCCAAATGTGCAAATCCCAAATTCCCAATAAATTCGCAAACTCGTCCAAATTCTTAAATACCCAAATCTCCAAATTCCAAAGTCCTTCAATCCTGAAATTCCCAAATTGCAAAAACCAAAAATTCAAATAAATTCCCAAATGTCCCAGCATCAAATTCCTAAGCTAACTTAACCCGTTGAGCGCCACGTCAGCCATCGATGGCTGACACTAGACTTTCCGTTTAGGCCGCGTCACTCATCGGTGGCTGACAGCGTGTAACATGAGAACTATAAAATTTACACTATTTTACGGAATTACAGAAAATTTATTTAAAATTTACTTAATTTGGTTCTGCTCGGTGGAATGTTTTCTTTGTCACAACTTGTAAGATGGACTGCTAATTTTTTCCGAAATTCGGTGGCCTGAACGGGATTGTCTTAGAAATACGCGTGGCGCTCAACGTGTTAACCTAACCAAACCTAACTAAACGCAATCTAACCTAACGCCTAAACTCTTGAATCAGTAAATACCTAAATTCCAACATTCTCTAGTTCATCAAACGATAAGTTGATTTATTTATCCTATCTCCTCATATATTATCATAGTTCCACGTGCGAGTATCAAATCCGACAAATTAAGTTTTATGGTATTCAGAGCAATATTCTCATTGTACTTTTCCACTTTATACGACACTTATACACTCCCGGACAAAATGATAGCACATGTGTGCAATCTTTAATTTCTTGAAAACTACTTAGAATTTTTTAGTGTAATACATACCATTCTAATTGTTACATAGCAGAGAGAAGGAACTTCTTAGTAAATATGGTTGACCTGGCTATGCTTTTGAGCAAGCAGAAGAAATATACAAATAGTGCCGGCGAAATGATAGCACATTCACAGAATTTATACATATATTTTCATAAAAAAGAAAGTTACACTGCAATTAATACAAAGTTAATAATGATATGATAATAATAATAATCCGCCTTTATTTTCTATTATTTCGAGTACCCGCTTTGCTAAGGATTTGTATAACATCTTTGTTTTTTTACTATTCTTTCTTTTTTTAAATCAGGGTAGTAAAATGAAAATGTCAATAAAAAAAAAATTCGTTTCCATTTCTTCGAAGACAAATGGGTGTGGGTGGTGTAATGATTTGGGCTGGAATTTAAACGGAATGAATACAAAGGCAAAACAAATGTGCAGTTTCTTGAAAGAAAAATGAATTATCAAAAATATATAAATTTACTCTCAAAACAAAGTATTGAACACGCACTACGAATTACCACTGATAAATTTATTTTTTAACATGGCAATGCTGCAATTCTCCGAATTAAAATCGAAGAACAATTTTTTCAAAGAGAAAACGTATCAGTTTTTCTGTTGCCCGCACGCTCCCTGGACCTGAATATTATTGAAAATTATTGGGGAGAACTAGCACGTGCTGTATATAAGAATGGAAAACAGTATGATAATATTAAACAATTAAAAGAAGCCATTAAGATAGATTGGGATAATTTGCCACAAAATACAATTAAAGTGTTATACAAATCCTTAGCAAAGCGGGTACTCGAAGTAATAGAAAATAAAGGCGGATTATTATTATTATCATATCATTATTAACTTTGTATTAATTGCAATGTAACTTTCTTTTTTATGAAAATATATGTATAAATTCTGTGAATGTGCTATCATTTCGCCGGCACTATTTGTATATTTCTTCTGCTTGCTCAAAAACATAGCAAGGTCAACCATATTTACTAAGAAGTTCCTTCTCTCTGCTATGTAATAATTAGAATGGTATGTATTACATTAAAAAATTCTAAGTAATTTTCAAGAAATTAAAGATAGCACACATGTGCTATCTTTTTGTCCGGGAGTGTATATGACGGCCCTCGTTGATTTTTTAAAGCGAAAACATTTGTCCTATAGGCATCGGATGTCTCGTCAATGTCGTGTATAACCCTTCCCCGAACCAAGTATCGAAAGCAGAATCATAAAGCAATTTCCAGACGACTCCCACTGCCAAACGCTTGTTTATTAACATTATCTGATTAATGATGATTGTACATGAGTGAACAAACATGTTTGTCGTTTTCAAAAACATAGTAATAAACAGGTGAAACGCGCGTGCGACATTGCTTCTTTTTACAATTTATGTACTTTCAATTTGTAGTTGAGAATGTTTGAGTTAGAAATTTTTTAGGTTAATACTTCTCAGGTAATTTAGTTACTAATAATATTTAGTTCACTTGTAATTAGCTATATACTTAAGTTGAGAAGTGTTCAAATAAATCTGGGGATTTACTCAAGGATTGAATATTGATTTATTTTGTGTGTAATCGCTTTTGAAACAAGTTTAGAAGGAAAGTAAAATATTCTTGTATATATATAGAAATTATAAAATTTGAGTAGTTAAAAATTTGAAGATTTGCGAATTTAGAAGCTCACGATTTTACAAGTTCACAATTTTACAATTTTACAAATTTACAATTTTACAAATTTACAATTTTACAAATTTACAATTTTACAAATTTACAATTTTACAAATTTACAATTTTACAAATTTACAATTTTACAAATTTACAATTTTACAAATTTACAATTTTACAAATTTACAATTTTACAAATTTACAATTTTACAAATTTACAATTTTACAAATTTACAATTTTACAAATTTACAATTTTACAAATTTACAATTTTACAAATTTACAATTTTACAAATTTACAATTTTACAAATTTACAATTTTACAAATTTACAATTTTACAAATTTACAATTTTACAAATTTACAATTTTACAAATTTACAATTTTACAAATTTACAATTTTACAAATTTACAATTTTACAAATTTACAATTTTACAAATTTACAATTTTACAAATTTACAATTTTACAAATTTACAATTTTACAAATTTACAATTTTACAAATTTACAATTTTACAAATTTACAATTTTACAAATTTACAATTTTACAAATTTACAATTTTACAAATTTACAATTTTACAAATTTACAGCTTTACAGTTTTACAGCTTAACAGTTTTACAGCTTAACAGTTTTACAGCTGTACAGTTTTACAGCTTAACAGTTTTACAGCTGTACAGTTTTACAGCTTTACAGCTTTACAGCGTTACAGCTTTACAGCTTTACAGCTTTACAGCTTTACTGTTTTACAGCTTTACAGTTTTACAGCTTACAGTTTTACAGCTTTACAGTTTTACAGCTTAACAGTTTTACAGCTTAACAGTTTGACAGCTTTACAGTTTTACAGCTTTACAGTTTTACAGCTTTACAGTTTTACAGTTTTACAGTTTTACAGTTTTACAGTTTTACAGTTTTACAGTTTTACAGTTTTACAGTTTTACAGTTTTACAGTTTTACAGTTTTACAGTTTTACAGTTTTACAGTTTTACAGTTTTACAGTTTTACAGTTTTACAGTTTTACAGTTTTACAGTTTTACAGTTTTACAGTTTTACAGTTTTACAGTTTTACAGTTTTACAGTTTTACAGTTTTACAGTTTTACAGTTTTACAGTTTTACAGTTTTACAGTTTTACAGTTTTACAGTTTTACAGTTTTACAGTTTTACAGTTTTACAGTTTTACAGTTTTACAGTTTTACAGTTTTACAGTTTTACAGTTTTACAGTTTTACAGTTTTACAGTTTTACAGTTTTACAATTTTACAATTTTTCAATTTTACAATTTTACAATTTTACAATTTCTCAATTTCATAAGTTTACAATTAAAAAATTTACAAATATGTTATCTTTTGTAACTGAAAATTTCACAATTTGAAAACACAAAATGGTGAAAATGTTTAATACAAAATTTTGATTACCAAAACGAACACCATACGTTGATCCTAAACACTAGCAAGAAAAGTCCTGTATTCCTAAATTATCAGCGGCTGATCAGGTAGGTTCTGAATCTACTTGATCGAAAGTTTACTCTCGATCTG